ACACACACACACACACACACACACACACACACACACACACACACACACACACAAACTCCCCACAGACTGGCTTGGCTCAGTGGATGTGAACAAAGCTGGAGGTCTGGAGAGGATTTGGACCCGTCAGGGTCTTTTGTGTTTGCATGGTGATGCCATGGGTAACGAAAACACGTATCCAAGCTCCCACTGGTCCCCCGCCAGTCCTCTACTGGTCCTCCGCCAGTTCTGGTCCTGCCCCTAGTTGCTCGGAATCTCAGCTCACACAAGCATCCGACTCTTACGCTCCGTCAGGATTTAGCTGGTTATTTTCCCACAAAAACCACGTCTGTTTGCTTTAAATTTAAGACTCAAAGCAGGAGACCTGTTCCTTTCCCCGTGTTTTAACGATCATTCTGCACCCCAGTTGTCTTCAATCGAGAGGCCCCTCTCCTCTGTTTGCGCTGTAAACCCCCACAGCTATTGTCAGCTGTTGTCTCTTGTCACCCCCCCCCCCCGTCCTCACTGCAGGTCATTAAGTAATAGCAGATATCGGCTCTAATTGTGCAGCTCATTTTAACAAGCTTTTCCTACCACAGTTAACCCCGTCTCTACGTCTCCATACTACAACCTGAGGATTAAGACTGAGCCACTTACACCAGTTGCCGCATGCCTCCGTGTCATTACATTAAAGTAGGCCTGTGACCTAAGCCTTAAGAGGTTTAGAGACCCATTTCATTTCATTATCATCATTGTGACGGCCTTCAGCTGAACATCGAAATCAAGTCCTCACACGGGGGGAGAAGAATAAAAGGTAAGAGACCTGATGCGATGTGATTTTCCAATACACTTCATGTTATTGAGCAGCTAATGAGCTTGGCAGCGGCAGCTAACACCGAGTTGTTACAGCAGATATAAACAGGCCGAGTCGCTCCCTCTCGCTTTGATCCACACGGCTCGTCCGTCACCGCCTTGTCAACAAATGACGGCTGCTTTATGTTGGTGCTACTGCAGAAATACGCCCCAGCAGGCAGGTTCAACAAGTCCTCACTTTCCACCTGAGCCCTTCCCCTCAATGCACACCAACCCATTTAAGACCAACTGTGACGTCTCGCGCTGTGCAAACACGTCCACTACGGTACGATCTATAAGCAGCCGCGCTGTGTTCCAGCGCTCGCCCCTCTCCGTGCATGGCTAAACACATACTGTGGACGCAAATACGACGCTGACGAGCAAATGTTTTGAGCTTGGAGCTCCTTTGTGGGAGTCTGAAAGAACAGGACGGCCTCTGTTGAGATAAGCTCGGGTCTTAAACCGATTGACCGACCTCCAAGTGGACCCCCTCGCTCCATTAACAACCCTGCTTAGGGCGCTACGCAATCTGGGATCAAGACTTATGGTTTAAGGTTCACATTGAAAAATCGCCGGACTCCAAGATAAGCTCGACATTCTTCCCATTACATGAACGTTTTCAGGTATTTTATTGACACACACACACTTACTCCTGCGTAGCGAGGAGTGACCATACCCAAATATGTTGGGTTTATAAGCAGCGGAGCGGATTGAACCGTCACGCCCTGTGTGAACTGGTTGAGCACGTGTACGGTGAGACTTGTCAACAGTCATCGTGACAAACTATTTTGCCAGTTTGGTAGCAGTTTAAAAACATGCCCCTGCAAACTCACTACTAGAGCTGGGTGTTAAAGAGGAGGAGAAAAAGCTGTGCAAACACCATTAAACTGAGTTTTACAGGCATCATTACATCCTGAAAGCCTCAGAATTGTAGATTATTAGTGGAGTCATGAAGCCTTTTAATGAGAAAGAAGAAGTGTTTTCATGAGAAATGTAGTGCGCTAAAATCAGGTCTGTAATTTAAGCTTTCTGGAACCAGAACACAAAAACATCCACCTCTTACTGGATGGATGCTGTCCACATGTTCACTGCAATGTGCACGCTCATAGGAAAGACTCTTTTTAGAAAGTGAAAGTCTTTTTGAACACATATACTTATGCACAGTATTTGTTTTTGTTAGTGGCCATAATTCATTTCGCAATTTACCTTCACAGAAAGCATCCCGTATCAGATTTAGGGTGAGGAACCAGCTTTTGTGTCAGTTATGTTGCTTCACACACATGAAATCTGAGACATTAGAATGTGATAAACCAGCTCTATAGTCAGTTTTGAGGCCATAGCCATGCTATGTTGCCGAAACTGAAAATATGGTTGGCAGTTACACCTCAGCTCAATGCAACATAAAAGAATAAAAGCTTCATTATAGTCACCAAACAAAACTCTTTGTGGTTACTTTACAGAATTTGAATCTTGAATGTTATCAGTTAACATGTTCACCATTAATTTCCTGATATACAAAACAGCAGTAGTGCAGCTGTTGTAATGTTCTTCACAGATCCCTCAAAATGAAACCAGCAGGTTCACTCCCTTTCAAAATGTGGTTTTCTGGACCTTTGTGCTGATTTAAGCTGTCAGTGCCACGTTAATGAGGAGCCCACACTGTCACTAACTGCACTCCCTGAAGAAGTACTATCTAAAAGTCTCTACATGTGTTTGATGGATATATCCAAGATATCAAACGGATTCAGCGGTGCAAACAAGCTAAAAAGATAAAAGATAGAAACTAAAGTCGACGGTATAAAATGTAACCACCACATCAGCTGGAGATTGAGACAGAGGACAATGACAAAAGCAGCACGTGTGCACCTTCAGTAGTTGCCGTAGCTCAGTGCTAACACTAGTTAATGGTGTGCTAACGTACTCTGCTAATGATAGCTGCACAGGTTTTTAACGTAGGTGGGAAAATGGGAAATCAGGAAGCTCTGGACAAACATGCTCCACACACAAGATGATGATGATGATGATGAAGCTCTTTTATGAACAAGTGCACGTGAGGGTGATTATTAAAGACACAAAAGGGGCAAATCCAGGCATGGACAGGCTGGGAAAAAAATAGATACAGATGAAAGAGACGAGGATGAATGTAAAAACACAGCCATTATTTATCATTTCATAATGGTCTCTGGATGGCCTTGAGTGAGAGAGACAGGGGGGGAGAGAGAGACAGAGGGGGAGAATGGTTTCCCATCATACCACTGTCACTGTGCCACCTCACCAGCTGGGTTGGGAGCGGCCTACTTCATCACAATAGCACATTAAGTGGATGTACTTGAGAGGAAAAGAAGCCTCTTCAAGCAAACAGGTCTGAATGGATAGTCACAGGCGTGGATCAGTAGAGCTATAATCTAAACAAAGAGCAAAGACTCAGTGTCCTTTCCTTGAAAGCTGGCTGTCAGTTAAAGCTCTTCTTTCATCGATTAACTGTCTGTCTGCAGGAGGCTTTGAGGAGAGACACTCTCTGATAGCTCAGCCCTAATAGATGATATCATCCCTCCTCGTGCATGCACACAGTGTGCTAGAGATGGACCCGTGTGTGTGTGTGTGTGTATGTGTGTGTGTGTGTGGGTGTGTGTAGCTGTGCAATGGGTGTGAAAGCACACTGTGGCCAATCCAAAAATCTGTCATGAGAAGCCGGTAGACAGCATCAAGAGGTGCCCGGCTGGACCTGGGTCACGAGATAGCGCGTGTGTGTATGTGTGTGCGCGCGCAGATGCTGCCGTCGACGTGCAGGTGTTTGCAAGGCCTGCGGCACCGACTGACAGGTGGCACCGGGCGCAATTAAAACCCCCTACTACGCATGTAGCCCTCCTGATGGAAACATGGAGAGAGAAGTGGTTGGTGACTTACCTCAGCGCCACACGGACTGAGCTTTCATCCTGCCCTGAAGTCATGACTCCTTGTTACACGATAGTCGACGGAAAAAGAGAACAAAAACAAACGGTTCTGCTTTGGGCAGAAGAGCGAGAGAAGAGAAAACGAGTGCGCACTCTCGAGCAAACGGAGCGGCTCACTTCGACTTCAGCGCCGCCATTTCTTAAACAAACACCAACAATTATCTTAACGGCGTGTTTAACCGTGATATATCAGCGGTGTGGTCTACGTGCGCCGCATCTCTGCGCAGTTCGGCTCGCGGATGCTCCAGCTCGAGCCCACATGCAGACTGACGCCGCTGTAGCTGCTAGGTGAGCCACTGCACGTGCACACGCGCGCTGGCGTGCATATAGAACGCACATGCACGCGGGCACTCACGCGCCGCCGTGCTTCGCAACAAGTTTGACGCACCGGGGAGGGAGCCGCAATGCGTCAGCAAGCCACGCCCTCTCCGGGGCTGCGAGATCACGTCATGACAAGGGTGTGAAACACATGTAGGAAAGTCAGAAATAAAACTTTAATTTTGTTAAGATTTCAAAAGAAAAAAATGTGTATATATAAACAGTTAATTGTTCACTTTATAAATTCCCTCAAAAGAAAAAATATAATTGATTAATAATTGTTTAAATTCAAATTAAAGTGTCTGAAACACCTGTAGACATACTGCCAAATGCAACATCAAGTTGTTTAATTTCTATTCATTTGTTTTACGTTTTTTATTTTATTTTAGTATGATTATCATTTTTTGTATTTTCCTTTATTATGGTATTGACATGTGATCAAGCTGTGATGTCAGATTTAATTTTTCCTACTTTAAGGTATATTTAAAAATAAATGTGCCAACAAAATATTTAACAATTTGTTTTTTGTTAATCTAACACAATTAAAGGTTGTGGTGTTTAAGTTTTGTTTTTATGAATTAACTAGTCTTATTTGTTTAAACATGGCATAAAGACACACAAACACATACTGACAAAAATTAAGAAAAACAATGAATTTATGAAAATAAAAAAAAATTGGCAAACTCGCACTGAGTAACCAAACGAGAATAAGAAAACATCAAAATGTATGCAAAGTTACATTTATTAAGCCAGGTTATTATTATATATTTAGTATGTTTATACATTAAATACCAAGTGTGATCATCAGACATCTCAGGACTGATTAGTGATCAGTGAACATACTTTTCTTTCTTCCTTCTAAATCAGTAGACTACTCATGCCCTGTGGAATCTGGTTATTTATTCATTTATTATTATTTAAGTCAATATTTGTGATTATGCATTGAAAAAAAGGGTATTTCTTCTCCATGAATCTTCATTATATTACAGTATGAAATAGGCAGATATAGAGAGATGTTTATAATGAGTCTGTGTATTAAACCCACATGAAACAGTGCTTTGTAATCTACATGCTGGTGAAAGACTTACCTGCAGGTTAGTGCAGTCTGAAGTAACAGTCTGTATTCACTTCTGACTCACTTAAAGGAACTTTTAGTGCCACCCTGAGGACCTGAACCATCATGGTACCATGTGAGGCCCGAGCAGAGATCTGAAGACGATTAAGTGACGGGACAGTAACTACGTCAAGGACATAAAGGATTTCTTACGTGCTGACACAGAATGTCTTTGTGATCACAGACAGGAATTAAAGGGCGCATTAAAGGCAAGGCAAGTTTGTAGCACATTTCAACAACAAGGCAAACAAACTAGACTTATTTGTTTAATAAAGATGGCATAAAGACACACAAACACATACTGACAAAAATTAAGAAAGATAAATTAGGCCAACTAGCACTGAGTAGCCAAAGGAGAGTAAGAAAACATTATCAAAATGTACTGTGCTGTGATATAGCTAAAATGATCTGTATTTTACACTCGATCTAACCTGAACATATTGTCACACCTACCAGGATGGAACTGTAAGCAACAATATAAAATAGATGCCTTTTCTTTTTTAAATATACTGGTCAAGGACTTAGAAATATAGTCAAATAAAAGCAATTTGACTTTTATATATAGATAGATACTGTGATATTTATACCTCCACAACATATTTATGTGAGCTCACAATTATCTCTTTGAGTACATCATGTGCTATTTACATCACATATCTTCATCATGTAGTTGTGTTTACATGTTTAAAACACAAAATATTGCTTAAAAACAAGAAAAATAACTAAGCCACAGCACGCCAGGGTTACATATTAAACGTTTGGTTTGTGTGTGAAAGCCTCCGGCACTCCACCCGTCCACTTCTTGCTGGGCAGTAACACCATAAACACAAGGAGTCCCGTTACAAGCCTATCACGTTACCGTTACCGGGGGAAGACACGGAGAAACGGCAGGCTCACTGGTGACTGAACACGTGTCATATTATAGTGAAGCCAAACACTGCATGCCGACACTTGAAATCAGTTTGAAAACAAAATTTGTTTAACTTCACAAAACAGAGTTTAACCTAAATAATGACTGTTTAGAAAGTCTCCATGTGGTCAGAAACACAACCCCAGTGTGAGCTATTTATCAGCTTGTTACTCGATAACGTGTTGAAGGTGTTGGCCCAGGTCAAGTCATACAAACACTCATATGGTTTGTCTAATTACTGGGACAAAAGTGGGACCGAGTTGATTGTCTGGAACCTTAAAATAACATTTAAAGGGCCGGTTCACCCAAATTATTTACAAGAAAATGTAATTAAACTCTGTTGGTATCTTGCCATGCACATAGTTTTGCTTCCGAGATTCCTCCATGGTTCAATGGAGAAAATAGCCGACATAGTAGAAGTAGGCTCCACAAGATCAACAGCACTTCGTTACAAAAACGAGAGTAAATGTTATAACTTCCACCCCTGGGAACCTGGGACCTGGCAGGGATTCTGGGAACAACTGAAGGTGGAGTGTAGAGAAAGCAGTTGTGGAATATTTGAAGGAGATATGAATATATCAAAGAATGTTGTGTTCGCTTGTTTTGTTCTTTCATTATTAATACAATCATTTAATACGTTATTCAGTGATATAAAGTGATCCAGGGACTAAATATCATACACTTACTCTGTATTAGATACTGAACTACTTCACCCTTATTCACCCGCCCGCGCTCTCAGGTCTAACATGTTACCTAGCTAGCTAGCAAGCCAAGTTAACGGTAGTGTTGGTGATGTACATTGAGCGAGATGAGAGATTTAGTTCACTGAGCGGTTTCACACAAAACTAAAGATACCACTACAAATCTATGACAAACTGTGACTCTCTTGACATGTAAAATTATCTTTAAAATTGACAAATTGTACATTTACAACTATACATATTTTCTTCCGAGTGAAGGTCCCATGGGAGACAGCGGAAAGGGGAGAACTTTGCCTTCCTATATGACAGAGCTGATGACAGCTAGCTACGGTAGCTTAGGAAATGGTGATATTGGGACAATGAATTTGATTAATTTATAACGTTAGCTAGCAAACTAACCAGCTGCTGAATGAGCTGAGCTGTGTAATGCTACATTACATTTTCTGTTCCCATATGAAGGTCTTTGTGCTATTTCCAAATGTTTCACTCATCAGAATCAGTTTAAACATTTCCAGATGTCTGTAGATTACTAGAAACATTACTAGTTCTTAAGTGCAACATTTTTAAAAACACAGATGCACTTTAACAAAATCAAGACTGTACCTAAAAACGTTTAATAAGGAATCTCATCCATTTTTATATTTATATGTATTAGTAGCAGCTGGATGCAGTACTTACAGTTATATAGGCTATGGCGCTGTCTAACTCCACCGCTCCGTAGTTTGCCGGGCTGACGTCTGCACCTTGCTAGAAATTTTTTTAGATTTGAGCAACGCGTTTTAGCAAGCGCACATAAAAAAATCTTTTTAAAAAAAAAAAGACAAAAAAGCCACATTTTTTGTTTAAAAAAAAAAAAAAGTGCAATCCCTTCCACTGTGCAAACAATAGCAATAACCCACGATCAACAGTTGAGTTTTACACCAGCACCCATTAAAAGATTAAACCCATGTTAGCGGGAGTAATGTGTTTAGGAAGAGTTCTACTCAACGTACAGATAAGGCAGACATCAATGATAGTGTTTGTCTCTTATTACAATACAAACACATTCTCGTTGGTTAACACATTTTGAAGTCCGAAATCACTCACAAAAGACGGATGCTCGGTCTTGAAGTCATGCAAAGAGCTCTTTACTGGAAATCTAAAATACTACCAGCTGGGAAAACAAAAGCCATTTCCCAAAGTTCATGTCCTTAAAATACAGATGATCAGTTTGTTAATCGAGGACTTTTCCATAAGAGTGCCATAGTCTGTAACCAACTCCCAGGTGAGACAAAGATGATGAGCAAGGGGAGAGTCATAGCCAATCACCGGAGAGCTCAGGCAGCCCCCTAAAGACACCACGGTTACCTTTTCCTCCCCACATCAGGAAGCCGAAGCACCAAGAGGAAAGAGAGAAAAGAAATCTTTAATCTACATCTGAGGCGTCGTTGTCAGAGGGGAGGTAGTTGCTGCCGTTTACCCGGATGTATTGGACCTGGTTGTGAGTAGATGAGGAGGATCCACAGGAGCAGAGCGGACCGGTGAACAGGTTCTCCACGTCCTCCAGCTGCAGGCCCTGGGTCTCAGGGAGGCAGCCCAGGACGAAGAGGAGCCCCAACGCCACCAGGCCCGAGTACATGAAGAACGCCCCTGGAGGAGAGATTGAAGCTTTGTTTATGTTTGCCCGAGTTTTACCGGCAAAACGCCAAAAACAAACCCCTCACAATGCCCCGGAGGAATTGTGATCAACTTTAAACTCATATTCATGGGCTACTTTATTGCCTTCATACAAATCCTGTAAACAAAGAAAATATCTCATTGCAGTCCAAGAAGAACCCTGTCAATTATAATGAGATTTAAAGCCAAATGGCAGACAATGATCTACCTTTATAGTCATACAATCACGATCAATATCATGACGATATAACAGTGTATTTACCGTAATATGTCAGATACTGAGCGACGTGGAGGAAGGTCAGGGACACCAGGACGTTGAAGATCCAGTTGACCCCGGCTGAACAGGCATTGCCGGTGCTGCGGGCCCAAAGCGGGTAGATCTCAGAGTTCACCGTCCAAGGCATGGTGCCCATACCTAACACACAGAGACGTTCTCATCACCAGGACCGGATGCACCACATGGAGGGTTTACTACTTTAGCTTTTGGTCGCTGGAAACAAATTTTTCATCACTTTATATTCTGAGTAATAAAGAGACTATGCAGTTATATGTCAGCTTAATAATGAAAATGTGACATGTTGCTTTATAAATTTCCATTTTTGTTTTCAAGTTCATCTGGTTCTTTCACTTGAATAAATTTGCACATTTGTTTGTGATGTTGACGGGTTCCTCGAAGTTTTTACCCCAAAATCAATCAACCTTATTTGCTACGACATTGTCTCTAAAACAGACAGACTAACAGCAAAATTTAAAAACCACAACAAATGTATTTTTAAAATATGTATTTTGAGGTGCATGTTTTGCGGTTTGCTGTCGCTACTTCTAAATGTTAAAAAGTGGTTGCCGCTGTCGGCAACAAAAGGCCAAGAATTGGTTGCCAATCTCTCAAAAAGGTTGCCTTTTGCCTTTTGTTTAGGGTGCGGTATTAAAAAGCATTGCCTCTATCTGGTAACTGTTTCCTGTATCAGCCAAAAGGGCTTGTGTCACGCTCGGTGAAAGGTGCGAGATATTTCTGTGGTTGTCTTGAGTTAAAAACGTGGTGCATAAATTTAATTTCTGTCTTTCTTTCTTTCCTTCTTTCTTTTTTGGGGGGGGGGGGAATATGTAAACTAGCTCAGAACAATCAGAGATGTTTCATATGTCATAGAAAGATTCAAAGGAGACAGCTGGATACGAGATGAGAGAAGTGGTTTCAGACCCGGAGCGAAGAAGGCGAGGTAGAGGATGAGGCCCATCAGGACAAGCCAGGAGTACGATGTCGGACAGTAGTTGTAGGCCCACATCGGGCTCTTAGTTTCCTCCGTCTGGTTGAAACACCTGGATGAAAGAAAACATTGCAAGAAACTGAAACCAGCATTTGCATGTCTTTGCTTCTAATAAATGCTACTTTTGCTACCATTTCATGTGTGAAGCAATCTAAGTGCAGATCACAGGTGCTTTTACTGTGGGTATATTTTAAAGACACATTTTAAACATATGATGACCACACGGGTGTCTCACATCCACACAGAAAAACAAAACAAAAAAAAAAAAAAATCGGCCTCCTGACCTTCCCCAGGCGGCGTGATCTGTGGATGCTTGACTGACGGGAACACAGGAGGAGTCGAACACTCTGCTGCTGTTTTCACGATAACAGAATCCACAGTCTGGATCCAACATGCAGAACTCACAGGACCTGGAGGACAGAGCCGAATGTAAGGAACCTCTGAGACAACACAGAGCAACGGACGAGCACACAAAAACCACTCTGCCAGCAGCGATGACTTCACTAGTGATGAGATAGTGAAGCTTTAACAACGTCCACAGACGCAGGAAGAACAGAAGGATCTTTGGTCAAATCATCACAGAAATGAACACAAAGTTCACCTCCAGGAGTCAAATTTAGCTAAATATAAGTGCCGTATATGCGTATTAATCTTATCGATGGCTCCAAAGGATTTTTGGATATTTCAATATTTGTGAAACAGAAACAGGACTCATGAAGAGATGGAAATATACTTTTTTTATTTTTTACACTCCCACTGGAGATTTTATAGTCCGTACAGGAACTCTTTAGAAAAAGTGTTTAAACCTACTTTTCTTCAAGAGATAAATATTTAACAATCAAATCAAAAGGATATTGGACTGGCAATATTTGCCTACACATCGCAGTTGTCAATAAGAAAAACTACAAACTAACGTCTCAGAATTAGAGGTAATGATTAAAACGTGTTTTCTTACCCGTATAGTCGGCAGGTTGAGTTTTGAGCGTCGAACGGGTGGAGGGTGGTGGGCGGAGAAAACTGGGCCGAGAGCAAGAACCCGACAGCCAAAACGGTCAGACTCAGACCGGTACCTGCATCAGAAAAAAAACACACACACATTAAATAAAGCTCTGAGAAAGAATAAATCATGAATAAAGAAATAAATCCTGCAAGAGACTTCAGCACAAGACTACAACTAAAACCTAGAGAAAGATATTATCAGTAACTAAATGCTAAATATAACTAGCTAAATATCAAATTACTGCCGGCTAGAATTGTTCCATTTCAAAATGATTCTATTCCGTTGTGATTGATACACTACTTGTGTTTTATTCGACGAATCACTGGGTAATAAACTATTCTGAAATTTAAATAAATCAACTAATTACTGTAGAACTGAAGACACAAACCTAAGAGACTGCCCAGGGTCAGCTTCCTGCGGCCCACTCGCTCCACCAGCCAGACTCCAACCAGGGTGAACACAAAGTTGGTGGCAGAAGTTGCAGCAGTCAACCAGATCGCCCGTTTAACATCCCGCACCCCCGCCATCTGCAGAATGGTTGCACTGTAGTACCTGGATATGAGTTAAAAAAGAAGCTGTTACATTGGTGGCCGATGTGATCAGGCAGAAGGGAGATCGTCATCATTATGCGTGAGCCGATACAAGACGAGGAGACGACCTACATGACGGTGTTTATCCCAGCCAGCTGCTGAAACATCTGGAGGCCGCAGCCAACGATGAGAGCCCTTCGAGTCGGACCGTGGTTAAAGATCCGCAAAATAACAAGGCCTCCTAAAGAGCAAACAGACAAAAAAAAAAAATCTATAAAGGAATATTGAATCAATGTGCCTTTTATTTCTTTTTAACAGATCTCTTTCACCTCCACCCGGCTCTTTCTCCTCTTCCTCGATGCAGGTTCTGATGGAGTCGTACTCCTCGTCAACGTTCCGGCCTCCTCTGATCCGGCTGAGAGCTTGGCGGGCCTCTTGGCTCCGGCCCTTTAAGAGAAGCCAACGGGGGCTCTCCGGCAGGAAGAGGAAGCCCACGAACTGCAGCACTGCCGGGACAACGGACAAACCCAGCATGTACCTACAGTATGGGGGAGAACGAGATGTTAGTGGTGCTAAACAAATAATCTCAAGTCTGGGTCTGAAGACTCAATGTCAAGCTGCTTCATCATTGTATAAACCTCAATCATGAATAGAGGCAGCAAAGACACACAGATGTGTTCAGAGCACAAATATTCATTGAAGTTTTTTAGGTTCACAGTTGCCTTTTTAAAGCCCAGTCCATGTATGATCCTCTGTTCGCTCCGCCTGGGTACTGTACTGGGTAAAACTTTGATAGCTATGAAGAGGTCATCAGCCAAAATTACTTTTTTGGGGGGGATTTAAAGAAGTGTGACCAAGATATGTCATGATTGAAAATTAAACTAGCCAGTGCCCTCTGGTGGGCAAACTATGCAACTGAAGTCTTGATACCTGAAACGATTTATAGACATGTTTTATGTTATTCTATTCACTTGTTTTGTTGTATCTAAGTTTTTTATTTTATTCTGTTTCATTGCTTCTTTTAATCACTTATTTTATAGTATTTAGGTTGTATAACTGTATTCTATTTTACCGTTTCTTCATTAATCCAGTCTATAATTCACACTGTTTTACCACCATTACTGTTATAATAGCTTTAAATTCTATTCTATTAATCAATCACAAAGACAGAGATGAGGGAAACCAAACTAAAGCTGTATCAGTCACAAAGACAGAGGTGAGGTAAACCAAACTAAAGCTGTATCAGTCACAAAGACAGAGGTAGGGTAAACCAAACTAAAGCTGTATCAGTCACAAAGACAGAGGTGAGGTAAACCAAACTAAAGCTGTATCAGTCACAAAGACAGAGGTAGGGTAAACCAAACTAAAGCAGAGGTCTGACATGTAAAGCCACTAGCAGAGGAGACAGCGTGGCGGTAGAACCGATGCTCACCTCCAGCCGTCATGGCTCATGTAGCTGAAGGCTCCATCGATCACACTCGCAATGAACTGGCCGCCGGTGATGAAGAGGGAGTTGATGGTGACCAGCTGACCTCGCTTGTGAGGGGGGGAAACTTCAGCGATGTATACAGGAACCGTCATAGAGGCAATGCCTGATGGGAAAAAAAACAAACAAGAAAAGGGTTTCGTTTTAACGAACGCAGCAACACTTTCCACACTTTATACTGTCCTTTAAATGCAAATACAAGCAAACACTGGAAAAGCAGGTCAGGTGGGGTGAGGGGACAAGTTGCTTGTGTACTTGTTGTTATTGAATATGCAGCATTTTAGCATCAAACATTCATACCAGTCGAAACGTTTGATTATTATGAGTGTGAAGGACTTCTCCATGGATTATTTGATTTATCTGTAAACCGCTGAAGAGAGACACTGTTGCTACATCAGTAGCAACAATTAAAGCACAAACATGGCTGTAGTGGGGACGGGCGGGTGGCAAACTTTGCAGAAGATTGTTCTCTGGTCTGTGTCTGACTTTTGCCGCCAAACCAAGAAGTAACAAGACTCTTTTTTTACAATGTACTACTGCTACTGGTCTGAATACTTCTTGTGAATGTGTGGAACTGTATCAATGTGAAACAAGGTGTTTCTAATCCCCTCTCTTCACCTGGATAGATAAGACTTTATGGATCAAAATTACACAAACTCACCTATGCCCAAACCAACTGTGACTCTGCCCACGAGAAGAACCACCTTGTCCGGGGCTAAGCTCAAGATGACGCCCCCGACGCCGAAGATGAAGCTGGCCAACAGGATGCAGACCCTGCGCCCCAGCCACCCGTTCAAGGAGCCTCCGCTCAGGGCCGAGAGCGCCGCGGCCCCGACGGTGCTGGAGACCAGCAGCTCCTGCCACAGAGCGTTCAGGTTCATCTCCTCCTTCAGGAGCAGCATCGCCCCAGAGACCACCCCAGTGTCATAACCGAAGAGAAACCCCCCCAGGGCAGAGAAGAACGCCAATACGTAGACGAACCCCGGCGTGGAGGCATCTTGGTCCGGGAGATCCCCACCAGCGGCAGATGGAGACCCAATGAGACTCTGCTCTCCATCATCCACTGCTTTCTGTCTCCGGCTGCCCATAGAGATCTTGTGCCTCAGACTGTCTTCATCGTGGCTGCTGGACGTAAGGAAGAGACCAGGAGTTCATTCAATAAAATAAAAAAACATCCTCAAAACGTAGCAGAGTTGAGGAAAAAGAGAGTTAATTATGCTGCATCATGTTCAATACCAGACGTCCCAATAATCACCAACTGACATTTGCTTCAGGTCCAGCTCGAGAGGAGAAACAGGGAAGCTAGCACGTCGACATTTTAACGGCTAACAGTTAACGTTAAGTTACTTGCTAACGACATTTCGCCATAAGCTCCTGAGAGTCTCTGTTCTGTTATTACAGACGATTTCAGTGTCGTGTCATGTTAAATGGCCTCAAACTGCCTTCAAACGACACTTTACCAGCGACAGTGCTACCGCTGTGATCCGTGGGCGGCCATGTTTAATGTTTACATCACGTGACTCACTCACGTGACTGCCCTCTCAGCATAAAAAGAACAAACTCCTCTAAAAACAATGTTGTCTCAGGACTTGTAATGTAAAACTGACCGCGATTATTCATAAATAACATTAATCATCTGCATTCCAAATCATTAATAGGTATTTGGAAAGTATGTCTTTTGAATATCCAATTTATTACTTATTTAATTAAGGAATAAACTGACACTGTCTCAAGAACACAGCGCCAAAGTAACAAACAAGCTCAAACCGCTGTCAGACATCCAACAACAGCCCAAAATATTTGCATATAAACAGAATCAGAGTCGTTTGTCAAGGAACAGCTGACAGGTAGGCAAGAGCTACACTTAACTAGTCGGCAGATTAAATATAAAACGACAACATCACACATGTAAAAAAGTAAAATAAACAAATGTTATATGTGCAACATAAACTCAACAATACGTCTGAAGTGTGTACCTGTGAAAAGCTTATTCTGGAGCACCGCAGCAGGAGTTCTTGTTGTCCAATTCAACAACAGGGAAGTTGGCCCCGGATCACATGATGGGGTTGCAGGAAAGGAGGATCCTGAATGGGCGTGTTCGAACACGCCCATTCTGAATAGATAGCTCACCTGTTGCTCCTCACATCGATGACGACCTTCAGTATTGCTGGAAATAGATATTTAAAGCTAGTATGTACTGTCACAACTTATTTTCATAACAGCTGTTTCGCCTTTAAAGCCTGAACAATGACTGTCGAATTTGGGTTTTATTTAGCAAGTTAAGGGCATAATTCACCTCTTATTTTTAATTATTAGATCAGGTCAGCTGTTTGTATTTTTGTTATTTTATTATAGGCAAATTCTTAATTAATTTATGTTTGACTTTTATCCCCAAATAGAATTTTTTCAGTCAAGCCAATTCCAATTTTTGACAAATGCAAGAGGCCTTCATTACAGAGAAAATGTTAAGCAACAGCAAATAAATGTGACGTGACGTAATAAAATACATAACATTTACAATATAAAAAATAAAAATATAATTCATTGTTTTTATTTAAATATAATCAACAAAAACAAAACGTTTTCATTCCCTATCTTTTATTGTTTTTATTATTATTATTATTATTTTTTAGACAATAGTTTAAAGCTGATTTAGGCACGTGGTAATATCACTTTAAAAAAAAATTAAAAAGAAGGACCCGTCACACTGACAGTGTAAATACCGTAAACACACTACTAGATGCGCAGTGGTGGCGACAGAACCGACAGAAACAAAAGTTTAGATTTTGTTAAATTAATCGCAATTTTGTGTGAAGTGCTTCACACCGTATTTAGATACATATTGCAATATGTTGTACGCAGTTTTCATATTAGCCATACGGGCTACGTACCGTTGCTCAATCGCAAACAAACATTACAATGCGGATTATTTTTAACTGAGTACTTTCGCGAATCTGCGCCAAGTCTATATGTCACACTGCTCGGTAAAAATCTGCAAATCTGACATCAGACACCGGGTGGGAGGAAGCAGACTCGACTCGGGTCATCCCCTTAAAAGTGTGGCTGTCAATCACAGCCAACGTTATTTGATGCGGTGATTTAATCAACGTAGAAACTTTACCGGGAGTGAAACGTGATTCTCCGCCACCACCCTCCCGGTGCTGCGCGCGGTGTTTACTTCCAGTTTCTTCCTCAACAAACGGGAAGTTTGTTGTTTTCCCCCGTTGACCGTGAGTCATATGATGTGACTGTAAGGAAGGAGGAACGCAGCAGAGGAAACCGCTGTTTTTTAGTTTGTTTTACTGCCACAGAAAGCCCTCAAAGAGGAACACGTCGGAGAAAGTTAGCCGAGGACGGTGATGTCAACGTCTGAACCGAAACTCACACCGACAGCTTCTCTGATCGTGACAGCTACTTGGAGCCGAATTGTAGCTTATGTAATATGATGAAACTAATATTCAGTAACGTGATATCGTGATATGAGTGGCACTTCGCCCGTTTTTCGCCCCCCCCCACCGTGCCATGCTTGTTTCCGAGGGAGAGGGCACTGCTGAAAACCTGAATGCGCGTCAGCTGGTTAAACGGTATTTCACACAGACCATGGAGACTAAAGAGGAGCAGGAAGAGCGGCTGAAGAAGCTGCTGGTGAGGCTCAAAATCCCGCAGGAAGACCGGCAGCTGTGCACGCTGATTCAGATCATCCGGGATCTGCTTTTCCTGGCGCATAGCGACAATGGTAGGAAACCAACATGTGTTGTTTCTGCACGTGCGTCATGCTGCCGTACATAAAACACGATGTCCTTCGGTCATGTTGTTTTTAATTGGTGGGGACAAGTACTCAGATACTTATACTTAAGTATAAATAGTGTGAAAACACTACTTATACGTGTGTGTATATATATACCACATACATGCCACAGTGTGAAAGAAGGCATGCATTCAAAAGAAATGCAGAAAAATACTATGTTCATATTTTATTATCTTCTATTATTCCTGGTGCATTAAGTGGAAGCATCAGTTTTTGATGTTGCAAGTTGTTTTTTCATCACATGCATGTACTGTAGGTAGTGGTGGAAGAAGTATGCATCTTTTACTGCTTTGAAGTATCAACAGAAACATAATTTACTTAAAATGACTTCAGAGAGTTGTATTATCACTGATGCGTCAACATGTGAACAGCATTGTAATGTTACAGCAGGTGGAGGCGGAGCTTATTTATACTTTAGATAGATAGATGGACTTTATTTCAGGGTCCATAGAGGCAAATGCATAAAAAGACAGACACAAACAATAAAATATATGATGTTGGAGAGTGTCTTTTACAGCACAGTGTCATATTTTATAAGTTGATCATGTGTGTTGTAGGTAAAATCATAATCTGTAAGGTAACTAGTAGTTGTGAAGGAGAGGAAGGTACAATAGTTTCTCCTTAAATGTGGTGGAGTGGGTTTAAAAAGATGGAGTAAATGGAAATACTCAAAGTGAAGCACAAGTACCTCAGAAATGTACTTCTACCACAGAGTGACTGTGTTTGGTCCTAAGAGAGTTTTACTTGTCAGTTTGGCATTCTTGTACACAGATCATGAGTTAAAGTATTTTTATTAGACTTGTACTATTTCCTTTTTCTGCAGATGTGTTCTCAGGGGCCTTACTTCACACTATACTACTACACATCATTGTAGTGAATAGCATTGCTGTAGTTGGTGTCGGTGATTTAATCCAACAGAGCAACATCTGGTTCTTAATATTAAGATGGTACCACTTAATTTATCATAATGCATACTTTACTTGTTGCTGCCACGTACACTTTTTTTTGGATACTATTGATGTATTTTATATATAAAAAGCCAAGTATTCTCCAATTTCAGCTTCTCATTCGTAGAGATCTTTTGTTTGGTGTGAGCAGTTTTAGCCAATAGTTTCATATTGTGTTAATGTTTTATTTGAATATTTCCTCTATCACTGTCTCTGTCTCTCCTGCACAGACTAACAAAAGACAACTAAACTCACACTTGTCATGTAATCCTTGTTGTTTTTATCGAGCCTTGCTCTATGGTTTTAAAGACAGAAATGAGTGCATTCAAAGCTAACTTGTCACTTTTCTTTAATACCTGTTGCAGCAGCCAAACTGTTTGAGGACAAAGATGTCCATACCGCCCTCGTGGTGGTAATGTCGTCCTACATTGGCAGCGGAGAAGTCCAACAGGTACCGCGGGACACCAGAAAGTTCTTACAAACCGTGTGTGTGTGCGTGTCAGCATCACCTGCTCAGGTTTAAAGTCACCCACAGCTGACCCGCCCACGCCCGATCTACCGTGTTTCTGGCGTCTCGTGACTGCAGCTTATCAGAGGTCTGATAGCAGCGTAACACAAAGAGAAAGTCAGACTGTGAGTCGGTCAGTCGTAACAAACTCCTTTGATCAATAAAACATAATCTGGAAAACGATTTCCACATTCTCCCGTGTTCCTGAAGCTGAGCATGAACTATTAGTCTGTCTACCAGAGCACACTGCCGTCTGAAAGGGCCAATCAATGGTCAGGATCATGTCGGTGTTTATGGACCTGAGTATTTTAAACGCTGTCACGTCGCATGGTAGCACATGCAGGTCGGATGACATCACTTCACGTTGCATTCTACCCGACACGTTAACGGTTGAGCAACGTTAAACTGGTTAGTCCGTTGTTTCTTTGCCGACATCTGCAGGTGTGTTTACATTGTTCTGTGATCAATTTGTCATCATTTCTAAGCTCGTAAGAGATGGTTTCATGAAGAAGTTACAGCCATAGACTTCCACAGAGAAGAACATATTAGTGTATGGCTCGCTCTCCGTCTGTCATAACGGCTAGATGATCACTGGAAAAGTCCTGAAAAAGATCTCTAGAAGAGGAGATATAACACTGGAGATACGGACGAGGCCTTGTTGCTGCTGCAACGGAGTCAAACTAGTTTTGTTAGATTTCTTGAGGTCATCAGCTGGAAAATTGCTCGAGCATCTTGCACAATGTCAAGTAGACAATGTGCAGGTAAAGGTGGACTTCCTCAAGCTGAAATGTCTTTTTTCCTTCATGTATCTTTTTCTTTATTCTTTATATTTTGATGGTTTGACTTGCTGAATCACCTCCATCTTCAGCGTGTGACGGTGTGATCTTCTCTGCTGCAGGTGGGCTGGTCACTGCTGTGTCGGCTGATTGAAATATGCCCCCGTACGCTGGACCAGCTGACCAGACCTCTGCAGGCAGCCAAGGACTGGGAGGTACTGGGAGTGCACCAGTGAGTAAAGACATCCGCCCGGAGCTGCACTTTGTGTTGAGCGCTGATCAACAAAAGTTAGCATGCTAACGCGTTACATTTTAGACATCTGCTGAACATCAGCATGTTGGCATTGTAGGCATGTTAGCATGCTGATGTTAGCATTTAGCTCAAAGCAAAGCACCATTTAAGTTGTAGTATAAGGCCATGTTATCACAGAACTAGACTCGCATCCTGATGTGCAAAGTAATTGTCCCATAAAGTTAATTACCGAACATTTCATATTTATGTTTACATTAAATAAATGTTCGTATTGTTGTAACAATTGTAGCCTTTAATCTGATATGAAAGGCTAATGTACATTCTGTTTGTTTTACATCCGTTTTTAATAGAGTTTTGCTTTCAGAAGTTCCAGGTCGAAATTATACTGAAGTCACTTTTTACTTTTCACTTCCTGTTTATTTTTCTGTGCTCATAGTTTCACGCAATTTCTTTCCAAATGGCCTTTTCAGTTCCTTTGTTTTGCCGTATAACATGTTTGTTTTCCACCAAGCTGCGTGGTTTCCTTCAGTTCTTAATGCTCAGACAAAAAGATGATCTGCAGACCCGTAAACCAGCATTTAGTTTAAAATGTGCAGAATATTAACGTACTTTCTTTAAAGCTTGCTGAAGTTAGGCCCTCGCATGCAGTCGGTAAAATGATTTAGCAGTCTTTGTCTTGGCTGCAGCCTCTGGTTCATTCTTTGCCTTGTCTTGATGTGTTTTCAAGGCAGATCCTGAAGGTGCTCTGTCAGTACGGCACAGACTGCAAAGTCACCATGGTCGGACTGCGAGCCCTGGCTCTCTTGCTCAGATCAGGTACGCCACGACACAGGAGATGAGCTAAAGCCCAGATCAAAGGATGTACGGATTCTACGGCTGGCTGGAACATTGATTGATGTCATCAAATCAGTATAAAAGGAAACTACATGATTCACAAAGCCCTTTAGGAGGAAAGAAGAGGACACATGTAAATAAATTAACTAGTCAATTAATCGTCAAAAGAACTGCAGTCAACGTGTAATTATCTTTGCATCTTACAGCAACGTTTTCATCTCTCCTTTTAAATCGTGATCTGAAGATTCTCAGCTGTTTCTGTTCCCCATTAAGGCATCAGACTTGTTTTTTTAATGCTTCTTTAATTCCTGACTGTGTAGACCTGGTTCCTCTGCTGGTGCTGGAGGAGGAGGAGGATGTGTTTGGCCTGGTGGTGCAGGCGATGAAGAAGTTTCCTGCCAGTGAAGAGGTGCAGCTCCAGGGCTGTGCAGCCCTGCAGGTCCTGTTGGAGAGAGGTGAGCGCACGCATGCACTCGTGTGTGGAGCCTTGGTTCTTATACAGCAGGTCGTCCTTTAACCACACGGTTGGCGGTTCGATCCCCCTGGTTCACTGACATGCTTGTTAAGGGAGGGGGTCAGCAGAGGGGGTGTTCAGTTGGATGCAATCTCCAACCTCTCTACTAGATGCCACTAAATCCTTCTCTCTACTCCTGTAACATAGTTGTACATGCTTGCAGTACAGTAGCTGAATGTCTTTCGTGTGTTTCCAGTAAGTGACGACCACCTGGTGGAGTTTGTGGAGAACCAGGATCACGTTGTGGTTCTGGCGGCTCTGCAGAGGTTCCCGGACAACCCCGAGCTGCTCCTGCAGGCCATGAAGGTGATGCTCCCGCTGGCTTGTCCCGGTAAGACCTGAGGGCACCCCGATGATGATGATCATCAATGATGTCTGAGAGGGGAGAGAAGAACTAACTTTATTGCTTTATAAGTAAAAAGGGCTGAAGGGTCAGTGGATGTATTCAGTTTAGGAAGGTGAGCTGTAAAGGTTCAGTTGATGTGAGCATATCGATCATGAAGGAAGAACACAAAAATATTCACAATTCACACGGTCTATTTCTAAACTCACCACAAGACCATGATGTCACTGTAACGCTTCTTTAAAAGCCTTGATGTTAATTAGACGCCAGTGTTGTGCGTTAAGGGAGAGTGGTGTTTGTTGAAAAGAGTCAAATCTTCTTGGAACTTCCCTCATGGTGAAGAACACAACAAACTCTGTGTGTCTGCTATTCAAATACATCTTTTGAAAGAAGAAAATATTCCTCTGTCCTCTGACAGATACTGCACATTTAGTGTTGTTTTTGTTGTAGCATTTTAACTTAAACACATAACGTTATCAAGCATTTTTAATAAGGATAGCTTCCATTTGGTTGTCAAAGACCAAAATACTGAGAAGAATATTTGATATTCTTCAAATAAAGTCGTCTGTCTGTTCTGTCTGGAGGACGATTCTGTTCACGCTGTCTCTTAATATCTCAAACATACAGTACTGATGTCCTTTCTCGACTGCAATATCTTACCTGTCAGATAATATATTGAATGCCTCTGATGCAAACTAAAATGCTCGATCGGTTATCGGCCAGAACACGAGTCTTGTATCAGCAATATTTCACGCTGGAAAATCTGTCAAACTAGAAAATGAAAGCAAGTTCAACAGCATTTATTTTGTATTCGTTCATGTTTTATAAAGGTTTAATCTGAACTAATCAGATTTTGAAGTGCAAAAGTTCTGTTTTATCTTGTGCAAAAATAAGCTTGATCACTTATCAATATGTTTGATTGCAATGGATAATGTATTCAGAAACATTCTAAACATGATGATAACTGTAGTGGAAGTCTTAAATGGTTTGTATTATATAGTATGTTTTCCATTTGTATTAAAGTCTTTTCACACAACAGACTAAACATCCCAGACACACAGGCCACATATCGTCGATGATGTATTACTTTATTTTAGATGTTGCTCTACACTAAAATGTAATTAGCTTGGAGGAGTTCTGCATGAAAAGTGGAGCTGGACATGAAAACAGATATGACAGAGTTTTAGTCATGAACCATTTTTTCCACTTTAATCTGTTTGTCACAGATGTTCTGTTTATCACGGCCATGGGGGATTCCAGGCTGTGCGGAGATGCAACTCTGTCATTAGGGAAAGAGATGCTTTTTTCTGTTTATTCAACTGTAGCCCGATTCTTATTTTACACGTTGTGACACGTACATCCATTTTTATTATAACATGAAGGTTGTAATCTTGATTGCCAGACGAACGAGAGACCGTGTAGCTGTTTGAGCTGATCATCTGTTCTCCTCCAGGCAGTAACGTGGAGGTGTTGATGTCGGGAGGCGCTCGCTGCTACAGCGTGATCATCGCCACCATGGACGCCTTCCCCGAGGCGGAGGAGCTGCAGGAGACGGCCTGCTGCCTCTTCAGGAGGTTTACGTCAGGTCAGATCCAAGGATCCAGTCTTTATAAAACTTATTCATATTAATGTTTAACTCTCATTTTGATAACCCTCTCCCTCCTCCAACAACAACATTTTCTATTTACACACACAATTAGCTGAGTACTTGTTCTTTAGGGGATGAAATATGTTTAGGCGTCCTAGTTCTCCAATGTAAAATGTATTGTAGTCATCAGTCTGTCAATGAATGACTTGGGAGTTTCTCCTCGCTTGTTGACAGTCCGATAACAGATAACACTGTTTGCGAAGTCGACGATTCTCCGCTTTCACTACACCAGCGTTTGGATTGATTCCTTCCGATAAAGTGATGTGTTTGCCAGTTGACAGATTGAGACTGAAGGGGTCAACGGAGGCGTCGGTGTAATCCAGGGTGCGCTTATTGTTTTGTGTCTTTCTTGCAGAGAGTTACTACAACATCCTGGTACTGAACGGCGTCCAGAGGGTCGCGGTGAGAGCCTGCCAGGCCTTCCCGCACAACGCCACGCTGCAAGCCGCCGCTCTCTCCTGTCTGGCTGACCTCAGTGAGGACGCACGCTCGCACAATGCTGTGTTTAAAATCGTTTACTTATCTCCACACAGATGGATTAGCGACGGAGAGGAACTGAATTGGTACTCTTATCAATACTGCTTATCGGTTCATTTTGATTAATTTGTAAGGAAAAAGAAAGACAGTTAATTAATAAAAGAATCAACATTGCTTTATTATTCTTGTGTAAACAAATAGTCCTCCTTGTGCAAATTCCTCAGTTTTTTGGGATGGACACTCACCAAATTCTGCGATTCCTTCCATTTGTTCTGCATTGGGTCAATCACAGGGCATTAGATTAGCTTTGGAAAGACACTATTGCCTATTATGTTCCTGATTGGACTCGGTTTACTCTGGACTCGGTCTTGACTGGACCTGGTCTTGGATTTAACTTGGAATCCAGTGAATTAGTCTTGACTACAGCCCTGTCTGTAGGTCTTGAAAACTTTAAAAAAACATTTAATTTGGTTGCCTCAACAAAGGCTTTAGTAGGTATTAATAATAGGCCGTTACATTAGCTATAACACTTTTGGGCTGTCTGGTGGTGATATCTATATATAGATATATCTATATAGATATAACTACACGGGAGCCTGGATGGACTGGATTAGCCGTGCAGGAGGCTGTTTAATCCGTTTATGTGGAGTTTTAGTCCACCAGACCTGTAATAACACATGTAGCCGGCTTCATCCATTCATTGGTTGGATTAGATCTTGTACAGTAGTTACACCACGCTCTCTCCGTCTTTCCAGCTGCAACCATCGTGCAGAGCAAAGCGGTGGCCGAGCAGGGTCTGGAGGAGGGAGAGGAGGAGGAGAACAGGGGCCGGGAGGAGGTGGAGGACATGGGCCTGGGCTGGATGGAGGCCTGCTGCACGGCGCTGGAGCTCCACGCTGCCGAGCCAAACGTTCAGGTCAGTGTCCAGTTCTTTTGGCCCTTTGAGCTCCAGACAATACTTGCAGTGGGATAATTCTGACTGTGAATCACTTCCGCCGCCTCAGGAAGCTGCAAGCTGGGCCATTCACAATTTGTTACTGCACGGAGCTGCTGTGGACCGTTCACAGGAGGAGCGGGATGAGAGGTACCCACTGAAAACAATGAGATATCACACATGCATCTCCTACAGATGTGGTGTTACCTCTGTCAGCACATATGCCAGGTTGTTAAAGATTAGAATATCTGGATGTTGTGTGGTTGTTTCCAGGACTCCTGTTCACAGACAGTTAATGGTGGCCATGCTGCTCCACTCCTCCTTTCCCAGAGTGTTTCAAGCTGCTACCAGTGCCATCGCCACTCTGCTCACACACAACGGTGAGCATTCAACAGTACACACTGAAGCAGCTGTAATCACTCTTTTTAACCTAACGATGTATCGAGTGACGAAGCTTTAGGGTGAGTTTCAAACATTGTTCAGCTGTCCGACCCTCGACTTTACTGTTTTAGTTCAGTCTGGCCGTCCTCATTGTCTGCGTTACTATTCACATAAAACCAGTTTTGTTGGCTCGTACCGATGTGCTCTGCTCCGTGTGCAGGTGAGATGCGGTCTCCGCTGCTGTCCAGCGGGCTCCACGTCAACCTGGTGGAGATGATGAAGAGACACTCGACCTCGGCTGAAGTCTCCATCAGCGCCTGTAAACTGCTCAGCCTGCTCTTTCAGGGAAGGTGGGCACAAGCACATTTGTTTCCATTCTGTGACGTCCTTGTTGGTTTCAGAAAATCATGTAAATATAGAAAAAAGGGAAGTCTGCATGAGAAAGAAAGGAACCGATCATCAGCATTTGTGAATATGACTTCTGCTTTCTGATTCTCAAAATATTAATGAAAACATCACGCAACAACATTTTCTCAAACGCTCTAAAACAATGATGTTCATGCTTAATTCTGGAATCTGTCTCTCTGTGTCTGTAGGACAGCCAGTCTGGATGAGTTGAACATGGCCATGAGTCAGATCCTCGGCGCCATGAAGGTCCACAACTTCCAGCCAGAGGTTCAGCTGGAGGCTCTGCAGGCCAGCCTGGTCTTCCTCTGCCCAGGTAGCGTAGAAGTGCTTTCCGTCGTGTTTTTGCACGGCCCAGATCAAATGTCTGCATGCTGATCTTTTCAGGAGTCTGTTATCTGTTGCTCCGAGGTGGCTATTTGTACTGATGCTAAAGTTCATCTCTCGAGTTTTACCACATGTCAGTCTCAACTCGTTTCCAGAAACGCAAGCTCTGACAAACTCACTTTACACTACGTATCCAGCACCAAACATCAAACGCACAATGTTTCTCTGGATTAGTTGGAGACCAAAACGGAGAAAAAGTATTGGACTTGGAGTCAACAGGTGTACAGAAGCAAAAGTCCAAATTAAAGCTAAATGCTGCTCCTCAATAACATGGAAGTACAGTCAGTTTATGCTACACTCTAGTTCTAGTCTTTCAATCTGTTGTGGCACTCTGCAGCCCCTTACTTGGCCACAAATCTATTTTAACAGCTGTAATAATAGGCGTTAAATTGCAATTGAGGCGATCCGTTGTGCAGATGTTCAGGGCTCTGAACGTTCCAGCTACATTGCTCAGTTATAATATTGTGTGAACAATAATGAAATGAATCTGTTTCAGTGTAGCAGCTTGTTTTATTTTTAATTCTCTTAATGAGGTCGTACTGTACTCTTCCTCTGCTCCCAGCGCTGCACTCGTTACACTCCTAATTAGATTATGTGAGTGATAACAGAGCGGCTGTGTCTGCATGTTTTCACTCGTTGCCTCGGTGTGTTTGAATCCCCAGACAGGAGTTTAAGGGAGCACGGCGTCTCGGTCGCAGACCCCGACATGGCCGACGTGTCGCTGAAGGTCCTGAAAAACCAGTGTGTGTTGGAAGGAGCTCACACCCTCTACCTGGAGGTTCTCAACAGGGTACGAATACGCAGACCAATCCCCAAAATGTCTCTCGAATACTCTTTGTTTTCTTACAGTCTTTCCAGCATGGTATATCCGGGTTTTCAGTCCCATTCTCGTGATCGTGATATCTAAAGAAAGGCCTGGAGGGAACGTCTTCAAATCTGGCACAATTGTCCACCTGAACTCAAGGATGAAGTGGTTTTATTTTGGTGGTCATAGGTCACTTCCAAAACACATTTGTGGCCCTAACTCAGGAATTCATATGGTAATTCTGACATTTTGACACAAATGTCCAACAGGATAAAATGATGACTTGTCAGACAAACATGGATGTTAAATGCAGTAACAACAACAATGGTGTCAAAAGTAGTCTCTGTCAAACACTATTCATATTTGTGAGGAAATGTTTTGCAATTGGAGTTAGGAATTTTGCCGGACATTAATAACCTTTTAAAAGACATTTTAGTGACGATACGATTTTTAGAACCATCCCCCCCAAATGTTGCTTTTGAGGCTTTCAGGGGGTCTCAAGGGTCAATCTTTTTAAACACTGTGCCAGGTGGTAAATGTAGTTTGTCCTTGAAGGCTTTTTAAAATAGATCTGGCCTGATATGATTTCATAAAATGCCCCAGATATAACAAACAAACAGGATAGAGCCTAAAGAAACCCCCGGGTTTTGTTATGCAGCTGCAGTACAAGTTCATCCATTCATTGTAGAAATTACACGGAATCTTTTCCTGCAACCAGAACATCGTAGAGAGAGGGTGTAATTACATTTTCCAAAAATAGTTTGCCAGTTGACCGACTGAATGAATAAAGATGAGGTTGTTTGGTATCCCAGCGTTCCACTGAGTGCTCTTTGTGTCTGTGTGCAGTTCATCAGCAGCTCCGTCATCCAGAGGTGCGGTCTGAAGGTGCTGTCCGCTCTGGCCGACTGCTCCGGTGCAGTGGACTTGCTCTGCCAGCAGGGTGCGATAGACACGGTGCTGCATACGCTACAGATGTTCCCACGGGAACGAGGTACAGTCAACAATTGTCTCATTCGATTTTTGCTAGTTTTGAGTGTTGAATTGGGGAGGAAAAGTCAGCAAACAGGACAGCATAGTGTTGCCTCTATCGTGATATTTTGGGGACCTGTGGGTAATAACTTGTTTCACAGTAAAAGTGGCGTCTCCTTTATTTAAAAGTCTACACAAACTTGAACTTGGTTGGATAGAGGAAGTAGCCACATCCCCTCATCTGAACATATAAAACATTGTGATTTCATATTAAAGATGGCTAATCGTGTGTTCACTAACGTCCTCCAGAGATACACTACTGGGGGTTCACCCTGCTCACCTACCTCGTGTCCAAGAAGAAGCTGTCGAGGATGATCGTACCCGTTCTGGCCTCCGTTGTGGTCGCCTCGCTCATCCAGTACAGAGACGACTCCGAGATGCTCCTGAAGGTGATCTTTACACACAGTAGTGGTCAATATTTGTTCTCATTTGTGTTTTTACCGCTTTATCGTCAGACCGACGGGCAACTAACTTCTCAGAACACGGGAGTTGCTGGTCTTTGCTGGTTTGTTTGTGTTATTGTGTGACACTGGTGTTTTTAAAGGGTTAGTTTGGATTCACCAAATGCTTTCTGGAATATACTGTTGATTAAAATGTATTTGGCTTGACTTCTCTCTGGTCGTTTGTCCCGCAGTGTTTTCAGGTGGCTTTGAGGATGCTGGACGCCTGTTCAGGAGCCGCTGCTGAACTGCAGAGAGAAGACTTTGACAGGCAGATCTTCCAGCAGCTCAGAGAGGAGACTCTGGACCAGAGCAACTATGCTGTGAGTTAGACGGTTAGACGCGACAGAACCACAATGTACTCAAAATACAAATCTATAGATAAAGTACATTTATAGAAAATGTAGGGAGGCGTAGGTTTAAATATGAGGCGCTTCAGTCTCAGTCGCACACACTGTTGACCCACTGGCTCTACTGTACTGCACACAGGAACGTACAGTACAGAAGGGCCGTGCACGACATACCAGACATGCTTGAATGAGACTGGGCACTGTAACCTTTAATTTGATGAACTGATTTGTGCGGGAGCTCGTTTAACTTTCTCTCCCCCCCTCCCCTCCCTCCCCTGTGAAGCTGCGTAAGTCGGTGTACCTGGCTCTGTCTAAGATGTGGTGCGACTCCCAGCTGCACTACGGCATGCTGGAGAAGGCATGCGAGGACGGAGACGCCACGCTGGCCGAGTGTCTCATCGAGCTGGGCGCCGACATCAACGGGAAGACCAAAGCAGAGTCCCTCATCTACCAGGTCAGAGGTCACGAAACCTCATGAGTAAACCAAACTGGGTCATGTGGAAGTTGTTGAGGGAAGTTATTCCTTTCACTCCTGACCGCCTGTGTTCTTTTTAGCATATTTAAAAAAAAATAGTTTTTTTTTAATGATGTAGGCGGCTCTTTGGTTGTAGGTGTTGGTTGGTCCAGAAATGTCTAAAACATTGAATGGATCGCCATGAAACTTGGTACACCCATTTATGTTCCCATCATGACAAATAACACTTCGGTTTTGATACTCCGCCCTACGAATAGATAGCTTCATTAACAATTCGTATAACCATCAGTCCACTCTCAACCCTCACCCCTCTGCCGTCTTCTCCAGGTGTGCGAGCGAGGCGGACCCCTCGAGCTGGTGGAGCTCCTCCTCAGCCGAGGCGCCCATGAGCAGCACCTGCGCAGGGCTCTGGCTGTGAGCGTGAAGCGCGGCGAGGGGCCCACGGTCATCCAGCTGCTGGGCCGCCTGGGCCTGGACCTCAACAACAGCGCCCTCTGCCTCGGGGGCTTCAGGCTGGGCCGCCTGGACGCCGCCTGGCTCAGCCCCCTGCTGGCGGAAAGAGGCCGAGCGTTCAGTCTCCGTTACACCAACAGTGAGGACGAGTTCACACTCTTCTCTTTAGAGGAGGATTCTCTGGTGTTTCCTCGACTCAACGGTTGAGTTGCAGCCCTTTCTTAATTTCTGTGCCCTGTGCTCTGTCTTTAAGGTAAAGGCGTGAGTTTGGCGAGGTACATTCAGTCATGCCAGAGGTCCAAGAGCCTCGGTGCTCCTCCTAGATCTCTGGGCGACCCGTGTCTGACTTCTGGCTACATTTCCGACGAGAGTGACGACTCCAGCTTCAGCTTGGTCTCCATGGACGACAGTTTAGTTTTCAACGACGACATGGAGAGTGACGGTAAAGTGCTTAGACATCAGACATCTCCGCCACATTGTGGACAAACGGGGGGTTAAAGTAATAACTTCTACATGAATTTTTACAATCCAACACAGGCAGTGAAAGTCTTCTTGAAGTGGAACTTTATTAGATTTAAACGTCTGACTCTCAGTTAAATGTAAATAACATCTCTCCAGCTTTAGAAGTAGACATTGTTGTGCATGCTTTATCAATAGAGCAATAATAATAAATACTTTTTAGTTGATTTTTAAATATATGATGATGATCTCCTGCTTTTCCTCTCTGTAGGAAGCGACTCGCTGTCGGGCGTCCTGTCTCCAGAGCCGCACAATAAATCCACAGAGGAGTTGAGGGGGAGGTCCTCCAAAGGGAAGCAGGGGCGCCGCAGACATGCCAGTGCAGAGGTAACGAAACCCTCTTCATACACTTCTTGTGTGAGAACATTGGATCTCATGCAGGAACTTTTTTTGGTTTTCTTATCTTGACTTTCTCTGACGTCAGATTCCGCAAACTGCTAACTTTAGATAACTTTAAAGTGTAAATGACCAGCATTAACATGATGAATGCCACCTGTACGTTCATGAGATTTGTAGTTTAGCATATTTACCCGATAATACCGAGGCTACGCGTCTTGATAAATATGTCCTATATTGAAGTCCTGCTTGCTGAGATCCATAAAGGAAATTGATCATTTTCATTTGTTTCTTGCATGAGGCCAGATGTTTTCATTGTTATAATTAACATAAAACATAGTTTTAATTACTCGTAAGAAGTCCTTTCCTTGCAGTCCTTAGTCTCTTAGTAGTAGATCTGTAGATCTGTAAATCTGACCCAGATGCACTTCTCTCCCCTCACTGTTGGTTTTTTCTTTTCCAGAGTGGTCAAACTGAGAGTGAACACAGTGAGCATGTGCAGAGGAGATATGGAAGGACTGGCTCAGGTCAAAAAGGTTTCAGTTCAACTTCATTCTCCTTCTGTCAAACACAGCTGCAGGAACGATGACCTAGTGTTGATGATTACTTTAAGTACAGTAGTTTAGTTAAGAAAATATAAAATAAACTCACAAGATGAACTATTCTTTATAGAAGAAAGAACAACAACAAATCTCTTCCTCACAGCATGTAAACAATGAATCTAGCTACAGTTTAACAGGATGCTTTCACCCTACTAACAGACAGAGTTGATGCCGGACGTTTGTTATTGTCTTTCAACACACAAAACCTCTTCCTCCACACGTCATTCTGCAGATGAGAAAAGCTCTCGTCTTGTTGAATCAGTTCTTAGCTAATGATTTGTCGCCTCCCCAGTGTTCGGCTCTGGTGAGAGCTCGGCCGCTCCGTCCAAGGAGAGAGAGCGGATCCTCCTGCTGGACCTGTCGGGTAACGAGCTGGACTCTCTGTCCTGTCTGATGGACGACGGCTTCGTCCAGCAGCAGCTGGGGCATCTCCTCCGCCTGGACCTGAGCCACAACAGTCTGCTGGAGTTCCCCTCAGCTCTTTGCCAGGTATCTGATCAATGCCGGATCATCAATGCATCACAAGATAAAAAAGGAAACAGACACTGAAGCGTGTTTTTCTTTTTCTCGCAGAGCCTGAGGAGTCTGACTCGACTGGACCTGCAGGGCAACCAGCTGCGCTCGCTGCCGGCGGAGCTGCTGTCGTTGCTCTCGCTGAGCACGCTCAACGTCTCTCGCAACTGCGTGGCACCCCTGCTGACCTTCGACCCCGCCGTCACCTGCCCATCGCTGCGGCACCTCAATCTGTCTTTCAACAAAATCACAGCGTTCCCTCACGAGCTGGGCCGCGCCACGGACCGGCTGGAGGAGCTGGTCCTGGAAGGGTGAGCTGCTGGGGGAGAGGCCGGTTAACCATGACTGGACGATGTATAGTCCCGGAAATAGTTGTTTTCTGCCGCTGATAAAAGGATAATATGATTATATAATAATGCAAGAACACCCTTTTACAGAGCAGTGAACTTAAATCTTAAATTCCCAGTCAAACGGATGCTTTAACGTATTAAGATTCTGTACTGTGTAATATTTGAGGGATTTAAATCACATCTTTGCTTCGGATTGGACCGCTCAAAAGTGGGCGTTGCAGATTGATTGATTGATTGATAGATTGATGTTGCGATATGATTGGATGAGTTTGGTCGAAACTAGCTTACCTCAGCACACAATTAATACAATTAAAATAAAACCACACTATCAAAACAAAGATAAAAATCTACTCTCATGCTTTGTTAACAAAATTGCAGCTAAACTCTTGTATCAGGGGTAAAGAGAGTCACTCATTCCTCAACAGAGACTCATTCACTCCTTAACAAGCAATATCCTGCCAATCACGTTCTCAATGTTTGGACCTTTGTTAACGAACTTAAAGTTGCATATAAGTTACAACAACAACACTCGTTTGGCTGAAACCCAAAATGTTCCCGTACCGGAGCCGTGGACGATAAGTCAATAATGTAAACATCATTGAGGTCATGTCCACATAGTGTATGATGATCAGATACAGTAACTTATATATTGTATATATTAGGGAATTAAAGAGTTCTTTCATAATTTAACACGGCCGTGTGACACAATAGTACAGCGTTAATACGACAGCTGCTGTGCTGCACATTCATCTTTGTTGTAAATGTTTGATTTTATGTAAATCATGGGACACGTGTGCAGGATATTTGTTGTCAAGTTAGTGCAGTCGTTCATAAGAAATGTCCGAGCTCAACACCAAAGTCTCCCCAAACTCATTTTTTGAAGACGGTAAATGTTTTTCACAAACTGGATTAAAATCATAATAATTAGCTTCTTATTCCTGCATACTTATCATTTTAATGTGCTGAATAACCTGTAATCCATATGTCTAATTGCAGAATATTGAAGACTGTTATTTCCCTTCTTTCTCTTTCCAGGAACAGTTTAACTGAGCTCTGCGTGCCTCTGTGTCTGCCGGAGATCAAGCTGCTCGACGTGAGCAAGAACAGTGTGGAGACTGTTTCTCCAGACTTCCTGACCGGCTGCCCCAAGCTGGAAACATTCAGTGCCTCCATGAACAAAATCTGTGAGTACTATCAACTATTTATTAAATACAAAAAATTGAACAGCATTGGGTGTTATTTCTCTGCCTTCCGTGTGATCTATAATGCGCTCGAGCAACATGTGACCCCGAGTGAGATCACTGGTGTGTGGACAGACCAAGCAGACGCACAGGTTTAGAGAATATTTAAGCAACCGATGTCCCTCCAAAACACTTCAGAATCAGTCGGGAGGCATAGCTTTAAAGGCATTCTGGGTTTTTGAAAATCTTTTAATTACATTTACTATGAGGAACATTTAACTGATTTATGAAACGGTCTTAATTTGATACTGATGCCTAAATATGACGTACAAAAGTGATCAGAGAGAGGATTGTCTATTTCTATATAGTTATTCTTAATGCTTGTCATCGGTGCAATCCGATGAAATCATGCAGGTTCACCAGAAACTCCTTCAGGGAAGAAAGAGCTTTTATCAAAATTGACAGTCAGCGATATCGGAGATTGGCTTCAGAGGCCACTTGATCGGTTTGAGAAATGAATCCATACAATCTGACTTATTCAGCGTTGAATTCTAGGGTTCGTTTTTTTTTTTCTCCAAAAAAAAAAACCATTTTGTGACAAATGGTTGTTCCACATTCTTATTTGGTGATGTGGAGACACAGAAACATCTTCACTGTCTTCTCCAGGTTCTCTGTCACATCTCTCGTCCAAGATCACAACGCTGAAACTAGCAAACAACAGCTTCACCGATGTTCCTGAGGCCATACTTAATCTCCCAAAGTAAGTCCGACAGTTTTCACATGTCCACATTTCACGCATCCCTCTCCTTGTAGTACTATCGCTTAATTCTCATCCTTCCATGTGTGCAGCTTGCGATCAGTGGACATGAGAACCAACTGCATCGCTGCTCTGCCCGGCCCAGGACTCTGGGAGTCCAGCAACCTCAGAGAGCTGATGTTCAGCCACAACGCCATCAAGGTTCTGGATCTGAGCGGGCCGATCCACAAGTGGACCAGACTGGAGAAACTCCACCTGAGTGACAACAAGCTCGCTCAGGTAAAGAAGTGTCTCAAATGAATGCTGTGAAAAGCACAGTGTATATGTGTATTTTTGTGTAAATGACGATTGTGTCGTCTGTGGTCAGATCCCCCAACAGATCGGCCAGTTGGAAGGACTCACCTCGCTGGACGTGAGCCGTAACGCTAACTTGCGGTCCTTCCCCGATGAGATGGGGAAACTGGGCAGACTGTGGGACCTCCCGCTGGATGGCCTTCGACTCCAGCTGGACCTCAAACTCATCGGCAGCAAGACCAAAGACATCGTCAGGTCAGCGGCTTCACGAACCTGAGCTGTCGTTTGTGACGACACCAAGAATGAATACCACATTTCAAATCCCATATTTACAGTTTATGATGACTCAGTCTTGAATATATCGAGGAAGAAGTAAAGCTCACGATAATTACTTTTCTCCCAGGTTCCTGCAGCAGCGGCTGAAGAAGGCGGTGCCGTACTACCGCATGAAGCTCATCGTGGTGGGGAACGCCGGCAGCGGGAAGACCTCCCTGATCCAGCAGCTGATGAAGCTGAAGCGCTCCCAGTTGAACTCCAAGCTGGCCTCCGTCGGCATCGACGTCCGGGACTGGGCCATCAGGGAGCGGGACAAGAAGAGAATGGTGCTGAACGTCTGGGACTTCTCCGGTTAGTCAACATATATAGTTGGAAGGTTTTATTTTACATACACAGCAAGTTCCTGGAGAAACAGTCTCAGCATTAATTAGATTTGTATGAAACTTCGTGAATCAGTTGTTCACAAGGCCAGGAAAAACCTTTGGGGGAAATGTTGTAAGACACTGACAGTCACACATTTGATAGAGTATGTGGGGGTCCTATTCAGCTGATTTAGTTTCACTCCCTGTGTCTTTACCACACAGGAGGAGAGGAGTTCAGCGGCTCTCACCCGCACTTCCTGACCTCCAGAGCTCTCTACCTCGTGGTGTACAACCTCAGCAAAGGAGCCAGTCAGGTGGAGGAGCTCAAGCCCTGGCTCTTCAACATCAAAGTGAGTCACAGAGACGTTCTCATGAGTAACTGTTGAGATCAATATCGAAATGAATATATTAATCCTGCTGAGAAGAATAAGAGACTAAAGGCTTCAACGATATCAAGCAAGGAATTCTCTTAACTTTACCACTTTAATCTTGGACATTCTTAGTCATCCCCCCCCCTCTTTATCTACAGTGGGCCTACTATGGTTTTGTAGAAAACAGTTTCCCATCATTGGCAGACTTAATTCACTTGTTTTTAAGATAAACAGTGCTTTGGAGAAAGTAAATCCATGTGTAGATGTTTCTTCCCTCTGCTGTAAAACGCTCCTCTTCTCTCCAGGCCGTGGCTCCTCTGTCCCCGGTCATCCTGGTGGGAACCCACACGGATGTGAGCGATGAGCTGCAGCTTCAGGCCTGCCTGACCAAGATCAGGGAGGAGCTGCTGAACCACCAGGGCTTCCCCGCCATCAGGGACTACCACATGATCTCAGTCTGCGAGGACTCGGACGCCATGGCCAAGCTGCGCAAGGCCATCGCCAGGGAAGCCACCAACTTTAAGGTAAAAGTACACACCGAACACATCAAACTTTTCTCCTTTTTATCTAGCTCTGCTCTGTCCTCACCTCCCCGTCTCCTCCCGCTTCCACAGATCCAGGGCCAGCCCGTGATGGGCCAGCTGGTTCCAGACAGCTACGTGGAGCTGGAGCGCCGGGTTCTGCAGGAGAGAACCAGGGTTCCCCCGGAGTTCCCCGTTCTCCGGCACCGGGAGCTGCTGCAGCTCATCCAGGAGAGTCAGCTGCAGCTGGAGGAGGCAGAGCTGCCCCACGCCATCCACTTCCTCAGTGAAGCCGGTGAGTCGGGGGATCAGGTCTGCTGCATTCAGCGTCACACAGGCCTTAATATTACCTTGATATACTTTTTAAATTGGTCCCAATTCAACATATCAATCAGCTCTCCTTCATCTTAGCATCAGCACTTCAAGACAAAACCTCAAGTCAACAATCTATCTGACCAAGCCTGATTGTTTTCGTCTCCTCCTCTGTCACTGAAGGGGTTTTGCTGCACTTTGATGATCCTGCTCTTCAGCTCCAAGAGCTCTACTTTATCGACCCACAGTGGCTGTGCAACATCATCTCCCAGGTAGCTTCACCCGAACACACAGAGACGATCAGACATGCTTCAGGCCGCCTGAGCTGATTCTGCTTCAACAACAACACAAAACAAAACAAACCTGTTCTCACTTTTACTTTGGATTTTCTTTCTAGTTGTTGTCATTTCTACAAGAGATTGTTGAGATTAAGCTGCATTTAATCCATACTGTGCATGCTCAGAAGATGTGCGTCAGGTCCAAGCAGACATCAGCTGTTCCTAAATCAAGTCAGAAGTAGAGTCATTTCTCATAGACTTCTATACAATCAGATAGTCTGAGGAGTCGCCCCCTGATGGCCATTAGAGAGAATGCAGGTTCACTTCACTTTTCAGAACCGGAGGTTGCCACCTGGTCAGCGGCCACATAAAAGCCCGTCTATTGACACTCGTGTTCAGGTACATCACTTAAAGAATGTGTCGTATCTGTCGGGTGCACAAATGCAGCTGCTGTCTGTTCGTTTGTGTAGAAACTGACGTTGAAGAGCTGTGGCTTCTGGGAGCATCCTAAAGGAGTTGTTCAGCGCTCAGTGGTGGAAAAGTTTCTGTTTGAGACCAAATGTTTCCCCAAGAGCCACCTGACGCAGTTCTTCAAGCTGCTGGAGAAGTTTCAGATCGCTCTACCCTTCGGCGAGGACCAGCTGCTGGTGCCCAGCAGGTATGTTGTTTTTTAAATGAGCAGCTACAGATGTAGGAGTTTTACGGGATTGTGCCATCGTAGAGAGACCAAATCATTTGGCAGATCACCATATTTCTGCGCCTCGAACCTCTCGTCTCTTCCTTCTTTACAGTTTGTCCAAACACAGACCGGTGATCGAGCTGCCTCACTGCGAGAACTCCGAGGTGATTGTCCGTCTGTACGAGATGCCGTACTTCCCCATGGATTACTGGTCTCGCCAGATCAGCCACCTGCTGGAGGTCTCTTCTTACCTGCTTTGTGGAAGAGGTAAACTGAACGCAGAGTAGACATAGTCCCTTTCTCATGAGAGGGTGCTGCTCTGCAGATGCAAATGCATAAAAAGAGTTTTACAAAAATGATCTCGCTGTGTGTTCTCCAGGAAAAGCGGTGCGACCAAACCGGATCTACTGGAGGAGAGGCGTGTACCTGAGCTGGTCCCCGGAGGCCTACTGTCTGGTGGAGGCTTCCTCAGAGGAGAACCCCTCCAGCTTCGTCAGGATAACAGTGCCCTCTTCACGCAAAGGTGAGGTTGTTTTTAAAGGTATGTATGTATGTATGTATATATATGTGTATGTATGTATGTGTGTATATATGTGTATATGTGTATATGTGTATATATATGTGTTGTGGTTCTTCCCCCCCCCCCCAGGCCGGGTGCTGCTGGGTCAGGTGGTGGACCACATCGACTCCCTGCTGGAGGAGTGGTTTCCCGGCCTGCTGAACACAGACATGCACGGCAGCGGCGAGGCTCTGCTGAAGAAGTGGGCTCTGTACAGCTTTGAGGACGGGCAGGAGTGGAGCAAGATTCTGCTCGAGGACCTCTTCACCTGCTTTGACAATGGTACGTAAACCGCACAAAAAAAACAACACTTTTCCTCTGTGGTGACCAATCAAGTCACCGGCAATCAGAGCAGGTCAACCCGGCCCTTTGGGAACAAAATGTGTTTTTCGGCGTGCAGGCGCTTGGAGGTAATCGGCCATTAAGTGACACCGCCACACAACCCTGCTCCTGAAATTGGGTGACCATATTTTCAAACCCCCAAACCGGGCGTGACGTGTGGTGCCTTGTTTATGTTTTTAATATTGAGTTGGGGTAATAATGAGTGGGACAGAACATGATAAACGTCTCTGTAGGCACTTAAAATAAGACTCGGGACAACCAGCTTGAAACCGGGACATCTGGTCACCGTAGTATGGAACACACTGTTTGGTTATACAGTAAGTGCTCAGAACAGAAGAACGTTGCTTTAATCGTCCCTCGTGAATGCTTCCAGTTATCTCAAATCTGTTTTGTTGAATGATTTCATTATCAATCATAGATTTTCTGCTGGTGAACCCGGAGGACCCCCGCTGCACACTCCCCATCTCTCAGATCGCTCCTGACTTGGTGCTGAGTGACCAGCCTGCAGGAACAATACTGGACGGTGGAGAGCTGCACGTAGACATGTCCATAGAGAACCGCCTGGGTACACCACACCAAACTGTTTCTGTTTCTTTATTTTTTATTTTTTATTTATTTTTTTATTTTTTTTAAACCTACTTATTAAAATTGAAACTTTTGAGGATCGACATATCTTTTTTTTCTTCAATGTCTTGTTAAATGAAACCCATAAATACGTTATTTTTCTCTTCTACAGGGGACGGAGGCTTTGGGACGGTCTATCGAAGTGTCTACAAAAACGAAGAAGTGGCTGTGAAAATATTCAACAAGCATGCATCTGAGCTTTATATCTACAGACTCCTCAGACAGGTACCACTGACTAGAAACGAGAAACCAAAAAACTCCCTGTGGTTTCTGTGTCCTGGACAACACGTACAGTAGACAGCAGCTCACTTCCTCTTGACTCACTTCTTTTCCTCCTCCGTTTGGCTCCAGGAGCTGGTGGTGTTGGGTCGCCTCCGTCACCCCAGCCTGGTGGGTCTGCTGGCGGCCGGCTCGTCTCCCCCGGTCCTGGTGATGGAGCTGGCTCTGAGAGGCTCGCTGGACTCCCTGTTTGAACACGAGCACAGCAGCCTCAACAGGAAGCTCCAGCACAGAATCGCCCTGCAGGTGGCCGACGGACTCAGGTACACAGTCTGACTTTAATTCACTAGAATTAATTTCATTTGATTATAATATGTTATAAGTATGTTTATAATGCATTACAGTCATGGGCGTCACAGAAAAAGTTACCAATATTTAAAAATAATTAAAATAAAAATCCTTGGGTCGCTGTTCAATCTGTGTGATCAGGTTCCTTCACTCAGCCATGATCATCTATCGGGACCTCAAGCCCCACAACGTCCTTCTGTTCAACCTGAAGACCGACTCCGAGATCATCGCCAAGATCACCGACTACGGCATCGCTCAGTACTGCTGCAGCATGGGAGTGAGGAGCTCCGAGGGCACGCCAGGTCGACGCCTCCTAAGACTTCAAACACTCCTATTGTATTGACCAGGGGTGGGGGGAAATCGTATCGCCATATGTTGTGTGGCAATATCGTGGGTAAAGTCAGCGGGATTAGCAGGAAGTTGGTCAAAACAAAGATGACAAATACTCACCTGAGGACCTGCAGGTCAGTGTCATCTTGTTGTTTATTTTGAAAATGTCTTCCTCTACATGTGGCAGGTTTCCGAGCACCGGAGGTGGCCCGAGGCAACGTGATCTACAACCAGCAGGCCGACGTGTTCTCCTTTGGCCTGCTGCTCTACGACCTCCTGACCTGCGGCGAGCGGATCTCTGACGGCATGAAGTTCCCCAGCGAGTTCGACGAGGTTGCGGTGCAGGGGAAACTGCCAGGTAACGATTGAAGAGTTTAATTTAGAGAGTCGTGCATTGTGTTGATGTTGTTTATTATTATTATTATTATTATTATTATTATTATTATTTTTAGCACAAAAGGAAGTGATAAAAGCAAAAGTACATAATGACAACAAACGCATAAATTGTGCAGTAGAGGTAACAAACCCTGAACGGTTTGAATGTTTGCTGCTCCCTTTTATTAAATACTTTCTTGTATTTTATACTTGTCTTGTTCTATTTTAGCTAGCTTTTATTCTCTGTTTTTTATTTTATTTAAATGTCCTTTTGTAATGTTTCATTTGCACTTTGTGTTTTGATGTTTCATATAAAGCGCAGTATAAATAAACTTGCGTTGCCTTGAACACAGACCCAGTGAAACACTACGGCTGCTCACCGTGGCCGGGCTTCCAGGCTCTGATGAAGGACTGTTTGAGGGAAAGCCCTCAGGGTCGACCCACCTCTGCTCAGGTGAGGACGTCAGCATCGTAGGGACGAGCTGTGGTGGTGCTATTAAAAGAAAAAGATTGTGGCCAACAAAGTGGCTTTAATTCGATGTCGGAGCCCATTCAACACACAGTGAACAGGTGTTTGTGTCTTCTGTAATGTGTGCAGGTGTTTGACAGGCTGAATTCAGGGGAGATGTACCTGATGAGGGAGCTGGTGGTTCCCCGGGTGTTCAACGCAGAGTGCCTCGCGGTGAGCGCCTGCAGCGCCGACGGCCCCCCGAACAGCCACCGAGCATGGGTGGGTGGAGGCAGCAGCGCCCAGAGACTCGGCTCCATCACAGCTGTGGACCTGGAAGACGGCACCGTCACGACGCAGGTACCAACACAGCGCCGTTATCCTCGGGACTGAATGTTTTCTTGATCTCACACGTTCGGGTTGATTTTCGGTGAAACGGGGTGTATTGTACCAGCTTTTTTTAATATTCACCTTCTCTGGTGTTCATAGTTCATATCATGTCCTAAAGGGTAACTTCTGTATTGTTCAACCCTTTCTTCCCATGTTTTTGTGTCTTAAGTACTGGGGACAACAGTTTTTGACAGTTTTTTCTTACTGACTGCGTTTTTTATTGTCGCAGTCTTGCCTTTCCTATAAATCAAACCCACCTCATACGTCCTGTTTACGAGGTGTCCTTCTCGCTCCTGCAGAATATAGACACCAGTCCCGTCTTGTGTCTCGTGACCATCCAAATCCCGAGCGAGGCGTGTGATTGGCTGGTGGCCGGCACCCAGTCTGGCTCCTTGGTGGTCGTCAGCACTCGCGACGCGTCAAAGTGGCACCGCCTGCAGAGTGTCACGGACGCCGTCACCTCGCTGTACTTCCACGTGCACCCTCGTCGCACGTAAGATTTCAATATTAAATCGTGTGAATTAAAATATCACTTCTGTTTCTAAAGTTAACATTTTCTGTAAATCTTACAGAAGATCTGCAAATGACGATCTACAGTTTCCTCACATGCGATTCTGTGAAGATCATTCTGCTGAATCTACAACCTCTTTCAAAATGGCCCTTCTGTCTTTTCAGCCAAAGAAAGAATTACTTGCTGGTTGGGACGGCTGATGGAGTTCTCACTGTTTACGAGGACTCTGTTCTCGAGGTAAATATCATCAAAGATCAAAGTGTGTTTGAGTCCCACCTGGTCCTCCGTGTACGCTGCTGTCTCTGATGCTCTTCCCGTTCTCCTCCCTCCAGCAGGAGAACGGGCAGCCGGTCAAAACGCTCACGGTGGGAAACGTCAACACGCCCGTCGTGTGCCTGGGCCAGTCGTCTCATTCGCTGGACAGCAGATCCGTGTGGGCCGGCTGCGGCACCAAGATCCTCTCCTTCACCGCTGACTACGACGTCTGCAAGAGCATCGACACGAGACCCAGCCTGGTCCTGCAGTGAGTTCACGGCACAAAGTCAGAAGTTTAGCAGGAGAGGTCAGACTGTCGATCTCGACGGGACTGAAGAATGAGCCTGAATGATAGTCACACGAAAAATACTTTTCTATCATAAATCTGTCCTTTCCTAACAATTGTGTTTGATAAGAAGTATCAAAGAAAAAAAGAGAATTAGGATTAGATTTGCGTGATGTTAAAAGTCTAAATCAGTCATCATGTCTTCATGTTATTCAGGCAGCAGCAGCGGTCGCTGGGAGGTGAAGCGTGCGTGTCCCGACTGGTTGTGGATAAATACGTTTACCTGAGCAAAGCCGGGACGACAAGCGTGGAGGTTTGGGACAAGAGGGGCGAGAGGATGGTGGACTGCATCAACTGTGCTCAGATCATCAGGTACGAACGCACATGTATTCATTATGTATTTTTTATCATGGCTCGCTGCTGTATTTCATTTTACTTTGTTGTTTTTAGTGTTTCTTGAAAACCAGACGGGCATGAATGTCGACACAGCACAAAGGAAGTGATGTAACAGCCTCTATGGCTCGTAGAAAACAAAGGAACATTTCCACTCATACAGTTCACCCCAGCATTTCCTTTTCATTATTTCATCAAGACATTTCTCCTGCTACTGAGATGAATGAGGAGGAATCTTCCTTTGTTTTTATGGTAATGTGGATCCTTCAGATCAATTTGAGATGTGACTCTGGTCTGCATGTTTCATGTTTTATCATAAGTGGGTCATGCGTTGTGGGCCTCTCACTGGTCTGGTCTTGACTCGGTCTGGGTTTAGGTCTTGACTACTACACTAGTGTCAGCAGAGGTCGATAAGCCGCAGGTTCATACGACAAACGTCCTCTCAACAGCTGTGTGTCCTCCTCTCCCTGCAGACAGGACAGCGAGGTGGAGCTGCCCGCCGAGGCGACTCCCTCCTGGGCCAGAGTGAAGGCCCTGCTGGTGCAGAGCGCTGCAGCCCTCTGGATCGGCACTAGAGGGGGCCACCTGCTGCTGCTGGAGCTCTCCAAACACCAGACGCTGCAGGTCATCGGGCCCTGCTGCGACTCCATCCGCTGCATGGCCTCGGCACTCATAGGTGAGTGTTTTATCCGTTTATTTAAAGGTCCCGTACTGTAAAAAGTTAGATTTTCAAGTGCATCTAAGTGCTGTGTAAATACTGTGAAAGTATTAATTACTATAGTTACAATAGTTATTGTGTATAACTATTTTGTTAGGGATTCAACTAATACAATCCTTACCCTTATGATTGACTTAATTAGCATAAGTGTTAATGTTTTATGCCTCTAGAGAACTTCAGATTTTGGGGGGAAATGTGTTTCCTGCACACACACTCATTCACCATGTAATTTGCATTTAATTTGCATTTTGTTCTACTTTCTACTGCGTTTGTAAAGAAGCAGCAGACGTGTTTCTTTTATTGAAGTCTTTGAGCCTAGAGTTAATTAAAGCGGTACATAATGCCGCAGTGGAAACGCTTTGAGAGAAGGAAAATGAATGAATGAGTGACAATATAAAAGGAAGGAAGTTAAAGTAAAAATAATACCACAGCTGGGTTTTTCTATTGTCTTCTCTCATAATGAGTCATGGTCTGTCAGCACTGATGTGTGAAACAACACCGCATGCTGCTCACACTTTGCCTCCATATTGAATTCAATATGTCTTGCTCTTCCCCCCCCCTCCCCTCGTTCGCTGAGTCTTGTCAATAGTGACGACAGATCTTTTTCTTTTTCACGACTAGAAACACTGAACTGTAAGAACGTGGTGCTGGTTCTGGGCAGAAGATTCCCACAAGATGCAAATCAGTTTGGTGAGTCTGTCGGTTCATTGCTCGTGCGCTCTGTGTGTTCTCTGCATTGGGTCTAAAAGTGAGTTTTTTATATTTCCTGCTCTCAGACCAGGAGTCGGTGCTAATGGTGTGGAGCAGCACGCTGCCGATGGAGGTCAAAGACCTGAACAAACACTGCGAGAAAAGAGAGCAGATAGCGGCCAAGATGAGAGAGCAGCTCCATCATGACTGAGCCCCACACGTGTGTTGGTGCGTTTTATTCACTCTGCAACCTGCGTTTCAATCGGTGTCTGTTTTTTATTTAATTTAAAGTTACTGTGAGGAACTCTATTTGATTCTGACGCCTCTATATGACCTACTTAAGTAAACAAGTCCATCAGCAAGAAGATTGGCTGTTTCTATGTCGTTTTTCTTAATGCTCGTCATCGATGCCACCGGGTCAGAGTAACATCTGATTCTCAGTAATGCTGGACCCGCTGGATGGAGGAGAGTCACGGAAGAACCAGAACCAGGACTGAGCGGGGCAGACTGTCAGACCCTGCTGCAGTAAAATGAGTTCCTAAAGGGACTCTGGTGCTCAGAGACACTACCTACCGCTTTTGTACATTGCAATGAATCAATCAAAGGTCTCTTTTTAAAGATGCACACTTATGAAATGATTTGCCGTGTTTCACAAGACAACCTTTGTAATTTGTGCAGAGACATTTCTCTAAAAGGGACACAGATGGACTGATTCGCGTTGTTATCAGCGCAGATGTTCAGGAAGACCTCCTGATAAAAAGAGACACTTGTTTACCCGCAGTATGCTTTAAAAAAAAAACAAAACAAGGAACGAAAGCCAAAGGAAAAAAAGCCTCTAAAAGTGTACATGTGATTATTTATTCTCATGTCTGTGAGCTCGTTAGTAAACAGGACACGGGACGTCTCAAATGGATTTGTACAAAGTTTTTATGTCATGTTACTGAAAGTCGCTGTTTGTGATGAAGTCAAACACTATTGTGTGTACTGTGATGGCTCTCTGTTAATGTAAATGAACACGGAAGTAAAAAGTCTTCAATTAAGTTTTTTGTTATTTGATTTATGCATTTTATAAATGCATATTACTGATTTTATTTTTTCTTCTGCTTCTCTGTTCTTTTAAAAGTGAATTTCTTTACATTTTGTGTTAGCGGTTGGATAATTCATGTGTGATATTGCATCACTTGTGTTATTTACATTGAGAACTGTCATTCAAAGAGACAAAGGACAGACACAAATAATCACATTATTTCAGTGTATGGATCATATTTGATCTTTAATTTTTGACGGGAAAAAAAAAGACATCGCAATTGAAGCCATTTCATGGAAAACATTATGTACAAGGAGGACTCTGTCCTCACAGACATCGACAGCAACATTAGTAAAAAACAAAGACACGAGAGTTAAGGATTTGAAGTGCTTCTGAACCTTGAAAAAACATGGTTATCCAAACTATCGAGATAAATATATTTATATTTTACAGAATACCTTAAATATACAACGTCCGTTATGTATTCTATAAATGACTTAGGCACACTTTTGTCTGAAACAATCATGGGAAAGGTTTTTAAAGGCCCTCCTCTCGCTGTTTGAAATAGTTGGACCTGAACTTTCACCGAGAAACAAAAAATCGCCGTCCAGGAGCGGCTGAACTGACTCGTTGGCCAGCCGGAAGCGAGGGAGGGGAGGGGTCATAATGTACACAACCATATTTTACAGCATGACTCAAAGCTGGCTTCATCTACACTGCCCACAGACACGGGTGCGGTCCCAAACATCACCCCCCCTTGCTCCTTTTGCAGACTCCTCTTTGCTGTTTCAAGTAGGCCTGGTGGAGCGTCCACCTTATTGCTCACAACTATCCTGACGACGCTCTCCGGTAGCAGAGGGAGCAGGAGATGGAGAGGAGTTTGAGACACAACCAACCAAGCAAGTGGGTGACAAGGATTTTATTTTCTTTATTTTTAAAGGTGGACAGTCATGTAAGGTTCAGAGACGACAAATAAGAGCAGCTACGATATCTACAGAGAATATACAGTACAAGTGAAATATACATGTATGATACCAACTAAACGCACACAGAGGGGTGGGGGGGGAGGAGTGACCAGCCGGTCAGTCTATAAGTCCGACTCGGGCATGTCCGGCATGTCGGCCATCAAGTAACCGATACCGTAGCGGCCGTTGGGTGCGGTGTCCGCATCGGGGCCGCCGCCGCTCTGCTTGCGGTAGATGCTGTTGCCAGGCATCGGCGACGGCGCCTCGCTGGGCGACTTGCCCTGGATCAGGCTGGTGTCGTCGTCCTCCCCCGGCCGGGCGGCCTCCTTGATGATGCGGCCCTTCTTGTAGGAGACGGTGGAGATGCCGCTGGCGCCGTCGTCGACGATGTTGAAGTAGCGCAGGCAGAAGACCACGGGCACGGGCAGGATGGCCATCACTATCAGGGAGATGCAGACCGCGGTGCCCCACGGAGGGAAGTTCACCTTCTGCTCTTTGGCCTGGAGGGAAACAAAGAACGGCAAGTTGGTGGAATGTCATTTTTATGAGTTACATATTGATAGATATTTAGGTTTTAAATGACCGGAACAACGGTGTTTACTTAAAGAAAATTGAAAAAAAGGTGGTCAAACTGTTTTGTTGTGTATAAGAAGTGGACGTAGTCATCGTGACGTCACCCATTGGTTTGTGGACTGACGTTTTGATGTCCAGACGCCATACATGGCTCTGGTGGAGACATCCCCTGCTTTATAGTCTGTTTGACTCTAAATGGACCATAATTTACGACATGAACATCATGCTGTATTGAAGAAGACTTGAAACTAGAGATTGAGACCATAAACTCATGTTTACAATGTTTACTGAGGTAATAGATCAAGAGAGAAGTAGAGTCATTTTCTCATAGAGAACCGGAGGTTGCCGCCTAATTTGGACAAAATTCATCTTGTAATCATTTTATTGAGACTTAAAAAACAGCCACATTTGTCAGAGTGGTGCAGGAATTAGTCCTAAAATCACAAAAGTGGTGTTCATTTGTGAAGATCATCTTGCTGAACAAAACGCGTCAGTATCATAAACTTTTGCCACAGACATTATTTTCTGCAATAATCCAGAATGGAGTAGAAACATCCCATTGGCTTTTAGTGGAGGGAACCAGTGCGATGGTAACGTCCAGGTTCACTGCAGCAGTTAAGCCTCTTGGTCGCCAAAAGCTAATATTAGTTGTTTATTGAGGAAAAACACGAAAGCATTTACTAGATTCAGCTTCTCAAATGCGACGATGTAGCTTTCTCTGTATTCATATCACTGTAGATTGTATATCTTAATATTTTTATTCAAAAAAAAATTGTACTAATCAAAAATAAAGAATGAAAATGAAAGATATTATGAGTTGCACCCCTGCTCTCACCAATTCTACTTCCGGTGTCTGGTTGATTGCATTAAGAGTCTGCACAAACAAACTGACGACCAATCGGTGTGTTCACTCGGGTCTCACAGTGAGGCTCAGTTCAGCTGCAGGTGAACCTTAATTAGCTGCTTTGGTGAGCTGAAGAGTTTTAGCCTCACAGGACAAATGAAGGAGTCCATTCAGGGGACACTTTGTCCCATTTGGCCTCCGCTCTCGTTTCCCCTTGATGTGATCAAACATGTCTCCGGGGCAGACGGCGCATCCTGTTAATTGTCCGACGGTTAAAGGACGCCTGAACATGTGAAAACTTTGCCCCCCATTCCTAGCCACTCCCTCACTTACTTTGAACCCTTTTTCTTTTTTCTTTTTACTCGTTCCAGGTTTTTGTTGAAAGCTTCCACCCTCATTGAACCCCCCCCCCCCCCCCCCCCCCCCCCCCGTCCCAGGAGAGACGAGCCGGAGACATCGACGACTCACCTCTTCCTGTATCCAGGCACTGTAGCTGGGCGGCGTCATGGACAGCTGGATGAAGCTGGCGGCCAGGAGGACCAGCAGCAGGAAGGGTGTGATGAACTTCCACATGTAGTAGTAGAACCGGTACGGCGTGAAGCCCAGCATGTCCTTCAGGTCTTCAAAGAACCTGAGGGGGGAAACGGAGGGACGCAGCAGGAGGTGAGATCACATGTCTGTGACAAAGAATTCACAATACTTTCATATGTCTGCTTTATGAATCTGATGGCCTTCACATGCTGTTTCTATGGCTCCTTTTAAAAACATATTCTGTGGATCACGGAATAAATAAACATACATTTAATCACATAAATACTTATTGCGACACCCCTATTCCAAATAATTTATCTCCAACTATGACAGCTTTTAAAACAATAACTTTATTGATATTTATGTGCGACAAGAGATGAGTAATTCATAAACCGGTCGACAGAGATGCAGGTGGCGATGTCGGCGTTCTTACTTATCGATCCCGTAGACCCAGGCGACCGCCACGTTCTCCAGTATGACCACGATGAGCAGAGGCAGGGTGGCCGAGTAGTCGTCGAACATGGTCACGAAGTAGTTCCCTGAGCGCTGAACGAACAGGAGGCCGATGGAGAAGGCCAACACGCAGCATCCCACTGCGGGAGAGGAAAGCACCATGCGTTATAGTGAGTAGTAATACGTCTCACTAAACAACCACACGCAATGGAGGGAATGTCAGGGTTCCAACTCTGTATTATTGAGGAACACATGCATCCATGTGAGGAATAAAAACAGAAGGTGTGTAGAGATAACGTGAGCTGAAATGGAGTGTGTTTAAGTAGAGCAGGACCCATTTGAGTTAATAGAGCAGTGAGATGGCCCACCTGTTCACTGAAGTGTGAAGCAGCCGCTGAGCCGTCACTGATCAAACCTGGTATGTTGTTGGCGAAACTAAAACAGGAAGAAGATAGCGCTTTTGTTTCTCCACCGGTAGCTATCGATAGCTATCTCTAGTCACCACAGAGCATCAATGTGAGGTCTGTGCAGTTACTATCCTTAGTAGTGTAACTGGCTGATGGTGGCAAAATAACGGGGTAACTGTGGAAAAATGTGTTGTTGGTATTTGCTCGACTCTGAGGAAACGGAAAGCGATCCGGTGGTTGAAAAGTTGTCTGTTTTCACTTAGTTAGAGAGAGTATTTCCTGTTTGAGTTGCTTCAGACTCCACAGACATCCAGGGATTAAACTAAACTAAGCTGACCTTAAACTTCAACATACTACAAGTCTGCATCCGCCGTGTTTTGGAAGATTTTCCTGCCATGACCACCGTTATATATCCTGCACCCACGACATTCAGTAGTCAAATGAACGTGACATCACAGAATGATTTAAAATGTGTTCGTGATCCCTGCACAAGTTAAAGGAGAGGTACTCGGGACGTCTCTCTAACCTGTGAGGAATTCCTTGCGGACTTTGAAGGTGTCGATCAGCGGAGTGAGGATGCCCTCGATGGTGCCGAACATGCTGCCCAGGCCGAGGTTGACCAGCATGAGGAAGAACATGACGGACCAGAAGGGCGAGCCCGGGAAGTGGGTCATGGCCTCTGTGAAGGCAATGAAGGCCAAGCCTGTGCCTTGGACCGCCTGTTAAGAGAGGAGAGAAGAAGAAGAGGTTGGACATCAGTGGCCAGAGGCTTTTTATTTTACCTCAACTGAGGTGGTCTTCATTTGAGATGGGTGCCCTTGGGAACATCTATTTCTAATTCCCCTATTTTGTCAGTATAATGAAAACTCACATTAAAACCCTCTCAGCTGTTCAGCCGGCATAATCTATAAGTTAATATTTGGGCCTATTTGTACCTTATTGAGCTCCTCCTCGATGCTGCAGGACTCCAGGCCCAGCTTGACATACTGGCCTTCCTTCACCCCGTTGATGATCGAGATCATCTGATGGTAGTCCTCAGCACTGACTTGGCTAACGTTAGTGAGGTTGATGTGCTGAGGGATCAGGCTTCTATCAATGTCGCTCCCCAACAACCCCACAATCTTGTTAGTGTTTCTGGGAAAAACAAACAAAAAAGAAACAGTTGTAAGTTATTGATAGTAAAGCAATAGTTAGTTACTGTTGCTCTGTCATTTTCCTTTTCAGTTACTACGCTATGATTGGGCAGTTAATGGTCGGGGCGGGCTTTAGCGAATGCAACAGTCCACCTCTGCTGCTACTCCGTCCTCAATGACCCGCCCTACTCTGCCTCTGATTGGCTAACCACCCACACTCATGCCTAAAGCTAACCAATCCAGTCAATGAAGGCAACGAGTAGCAGCCAATCAGAGGCAGAGGAGGGCGGGTCATGCCTTTGTCAGAGCTACAATGGAGCCCACACTGTCACTAATCACTAATTGCACTTGAATGAATAGTATCACCTTTTTGGTAAAGAGAAGCGGACAGAAGGGTCTACAGCAAATGTATTTTTAAGGAATTAAGGATTATTAGGGAACAACACTGTTCCTGTAAAGCTGGGTAGGTCGTTGTTCACTGTTACAATCAAAAGCAGCATGTGTAGACATTCAGTATACCTTCAGTAGCTAGCATAGCTAACGCTAGTTAATGATGTGCTAACGTACTACTAATATTATCTTTCCCCCCCAAACTGTTCCCTTCTCTGCTTCTTCAACGTCTGAAAAGTAAAGACTTCACCATTTAACTGTGAGTTACATTCACACCTAAACTTCTGCAGGAAATGCAGTTGCAGTCTATAAATACCTTAAATGTGAGAGGAGGCTCGTGCTACTCACAGTGCGACACACTTGCCGATCATTATGTTGGCTTTGAAGCCCAGCACCGCAAACACCACCAGGGTGGCCAGCACGGAGGTGAAGAAATTGATAAAAGACACCAAGACGGCGTCGAAGTGGCAGTTGTTGTCCCGCTTGTTGTAGCTGGAGAAGGCGATGACGCCGCCGAAGCCGAGGCCCAGGGCGAAGAAGACCTGCGTGGCCGCCTCTCGCCACACCTTGGCCTCCAACATGATCTCCAACTGAAAGAACAACACAGGCAGATTTGGCTTTAGTTTGGTAACATGGTCTATATTTAAGGTTCTCACTGAAGGACTTCACCTTAAGTCCTAAAGGAGGACTTTTTAAAAAATGTTTGCAGATAATTACATCAAAAACAAAACAAACATTGTCAGGACTTTTTATCTATTTATAGCTGAGAGAAGCAAAGTAATAAAATGCTGATGCAGCGAACTCCCCCTGAAGTGTGAAGGTTTACTTCCTCGTCGTTGACATGTGGATGAAAGTGCAGAAAAAGCAAGTAAGTGGACCTTGAGTTGACATTAAATAAATGTTTTTCCTGTTTTATATCATTCTAAATGTAATATTTTTAGGTTTGAGACTATTGGTCGGATAAGTTGACTCAGTGATGCTATTTTATGACACTTTACAATTTAAATTAACGACGTAAACTATTCATAACTGCAGCCCTGCACATGAATATACAGTTGTAAAATCCATGCAGTAATTGTTTGTTACTGGTGGCTGGATGTTATGCCGTCACTAATGTTTTGTGTGTGGGTGGGTTAGCATACGTTTTACATATTTTTATTATATATATTTTTTATTATGCTTCATGCTCAAGTCCCGGTGTGTCATGTGCTTCACCTGACTGCTGGGGACGACAAAGCTGAAATTTGAAAAGTATTATTTTGGTCCAATAAGAGCAACAATAATTAACATATTAGCATTTATATCTGTTTGTGTTTTGCAGACACTCGATGCATCGTCTTGCCAAATGACAGCTGCCATCTTGACAGTTTCCACGTCGACGTTTTCTGCAACGACGCTCTCGAGCTGTTCTGAGAACGGAGCAGAAAACACACGGGACTCTGATGTCCGCGGCTTCACTGAAGGTGGCGTTTGAAGTGGCAAGATGTCAGCCGAGGAGACGGACAGACAGACACAGCGAGACAGACAGCGAGACAGACGGACGGAGACTCTCCGGCTGGTGTCGTTACAGAAAGCCTCAGTAACTCCTGTTTCCATGGCGACATGATTTCACAGCCTGACGCTGCCATTGGCCGAGGAGCCGACCAATCACGGTGCAGATTTAGGTTTTTGGGTTCAGACACTTTTTTTTTTTTTTTTTTTCCCTGTAAAGTAGTGAGTGGATTCAGTTCAGCAGTGGCTCAATAAGCTTTTCTGTATATTCCTCGTCAGTGTTAAGTATAAGATAACTGTAGTGTTTCTACATTTAGTAATGCTGAGAGGATCTATTAACATTTAGATAATTTCTAAAGCAAAAGTGACAAACTCAAATGTTTGTTTTGAAGCTTTTCTTTGTCATAAATGATCATAAACTTATTATCTTCAGGTTTGGACTGTTGGTCAAACAAAACAAGATATTTGGGCTTTAGCAACATCATTTTTCACTTTTTCCTGATAATTTACAGATAAAACAGTTGGCAGCTTGATCGATAATGAAAATAATAGTTTTCCCTTGGTGGCTTCATTCCAAACGGCACCATTTGCTCTGAATTGACGCAGTTGAAAAGGGCGTTACCTTGGGTGTGAACATGTGTCGAATCCCATCCACGGAGCCCTTCAGCAGCAGAGCGCGGACCAGGAAGCAGATCAACACCACGTACGGGAACAGGGAGCTGAAGTACATCACCTGTAAGCAAACAAAACCTGTTCAAACGGCACCAAACGCCTGCAGTCGGACCTGTACTCCGATAAAACTCACTCTGCATATCTCTAAGACGTGGCACGCATTAGGAGCGATGCATAATTTAAACACTAAACTAGTGTTTAGGTAAGAAGGACAAAATGTTCAGAAATCCAACTTTTGTTGAAGCCAATGAACTAGTTTGAAGAGAAGTCCGATTATGTTTTACTCACTCGAGTATGTCTCGTTCCGTGCCAATTATTACTGCTTTCTAGAATACTGAGCAGCGTAAAAACAAATCTTGGCTCTGAGATGATAACTGCTGTTCAGTTCTTGTGAGAAAAGAACCCCACTTGACAGACGGTCAGAGTGTGTGTCGACAGAAGACTGTAATAATAAATGTAGTGTGATCTTATTGCCCGTGTTGATCCTGATAACGTGACAGGAACATTAAAATGTGCAGAAAAGAGAGAGAAAGTACTGTTTTTCTTTACTTTGTTTCTCATTAATCTTGAGTTCATCTTTTCTTTTGTGTATTTTTGACAGTGACGATGCATATTTAGGAAGTGGTGCCTTAATGTACCATCTACATTGTTAAACCGCTAGATCGCTGCAGGAATGAGTCCTAAAAGCCTGAAACGAGTCAGAATTCTTTGCTCTTTCGGTTCCCTCGTCTCAAAGTCGACGGCTTGTTTGAACGGGTTTTTCGTTAGATGCCTGAAATGAAGTCTGTGGTTAACTCAAGTTTAAGAGATTTTAACTTTTTACGATACAAAACGCTTCAGTAAATACCCCTCTTGTGAATTTTGAAGCTTTTAAGTGTCTTTAAGAAAAGTGGTTGCTAACAAGTTGCATCTCTGGAACACTATTCGGCCTTTAGCTCAGTGGTGGAGACATGAAGTCATGTGACCGCGGTGTAGTTTGTTCATAGCCTCATACGTTAGCGTCCTATTGCTGAGTGCACTCGCGCTTCAAAAATCATAAAAGTGGTGTTTATTTGTGTAGATCTTCTGAACAACAGAAGTATCTGCAATGTGATGCTAACTTCATGGTTAGTGAGAAACGTCCTCCCTGCAGCACTCTGTATACCAGCAGGGTCTGTGCCTGTGCAAGACCCTTTGTGCAATTATAGTGCCAATTAGACAGTGGGCCTCTGTTCTCTTTTCTCTCTCTCGCTGCACTGTGACCACGTGGGTTTACAGGACTGAAGAGTGGGTGTGGGTGAATGAGATGGTTTGGGCTTGAGTCATGAGCACGGTTAGGGATTCAGAGACCTCGGGTCTCTTGCATGGTGGTCCATGTGTAGCCCCGAACGGAGACTGACTAATGTCTCGTCGGGATTCCTTTAGATATTTTAAAGTTCAGTCAAGGTTTGTGAAGTTTAACGATTTTCCTCCCAGTGCTTGGAGGCAAAAAGAGATTCTCCTAAAGTATTTTTGTGATACTTTGACTTTATGTCCTGTACATTTGATCTCTGGTAATGAACAGTTTCTACCTCAACAAGAATCCATACTGGAGATGTGTTTGATGAGTCAAAGCTTGCAAAGTAAGAAGTTACTTCACTGAACATTCTAACCAGTTTAACTTAATTCAACCATTTAAAACAGGTTGGATGGAATGCAACGTTATGTTATTTCATCCAACCT